TCGTCACTTCTAAACGATCGTCGCTTTTACAAATGACATAAAAGCATAGAATTGCATGCAAATACTGCCAACGTTTGGTCAGATTCACTTGGTATATTGCGGCACAATCCATTTCAATTGAACTCTTTCATTTTTCATTTTCCCATTGCATATTTTAATGTGATATTGTTTGAAAATCAATTCTATTTTATTCTGTATTGTTTACTGTTTCTCGTTGTAAACTCGACAGTTTTTCCTTATATTCTAATAAAATTGTTACACGTATTTGTATTTTCAAGTTTCCTCTTTATGTTATTGTGTTTCATAGACGGAGCTATTCCAAATGGTTTCGAGGCTGTTATTGACGGAATTGTGCAATTTTTCAACCGCTCATGATTTAAATTTAGTTGACTCACATTATAAAATATTTCCTACTCTGACATTTGGTTATCTGCAAGAGCACGTGTCGTGCTGTGTATAAATTACCTTGAATCCCTGGAATAGCCCCTATCCTGTTTTCTTTAATGCCTTTTCCTTAGTGTTCTCGAAGCGTGGTGCCTTATTCAGCAAACTCACCAGTTCGGCATTTAGTTTGTGTGTGTGTGTGTGAGTGTATGTGTGTGTGTTTCTGCGTGTGTTTGTGTGCGTGCGTGTGTGTGTGAGAGAGAGAGGGGGAGAGAGAGAGAGAGAAATGCCTTAGCCGTTTTCTTTCTGTAATCTGAAAAAGTTTCGTGTTTCGCCATCGGCAGTGTGTCATCTCTCCTTTCTGCAGTGGCACTGTCTATTTCACGTGGAGTGTCCTTATCCTTCACTTTCTCCGATGTAAGTACAACGCCTCACTCACAAGTAGAACATTGCCAGACCTGGGTTCATGAACGCATTATGGTGAAATCTACATATATGTTTCATGTTATTTACTTTACGTATGAGGAAATAATCGGGTGCAAACCAAGTGAATCTGACTAGGCAATTTTGAAGGTTTACGAATCTGGACGTTTCATTATCTCTACTATAGTATGAGGCACCCGTCGTGTCTCGTCCGCCTTTCTGAATTCGAGCGTCTTGCAGGTGTGTCGTGCGTTTCATGCCAACCGGTCGGGAAATGTTTACTTTTTAACGAAATTGTTTCTTATTCATTTTCTTTGTTTTCATTTGTATTAATTGGATATACATTATCTTTTATAGACCACGACAAAAGTTACCTAGGATTATTTTACGTATATCATTTTTATAGAGAAAGTCACTTTAGATAAGTTATATTAAAAAACAATTGTGCTATTAATGATTCTAGAATTATATACGTTTGCACCAATTTCAGGGACTACACCGACATACTTTGGAACAGCACCTTCCACAGACTCCTCTTTGAATAGTGATGGTGTCACTTCTCCGTCATATGGCGAGGACAACGGGGAAGACCCAACCACTCCAAATATCGACGGTTGGATGAACAACGGAGCTACCTCAGACACATTGCCTCAAGGCTCACAACTCTCGGCGACCAGAGATCCTGCGGAATGGGGTGATTCGACAACCTATAGCCCGATTTTTTCATTAACAACAGGACGCGGGGAGTACAACGACGGCACTTATCAATTAACGACGTCATCTGACGTCATCGATGGGGGACGTGACGCAACGCCATTACCAAATAGCTATGATGGCGCTGGAACGACTTTGAACGAGTACACTTCAGCCAGTAGTGATGGCACTGAAAATGGTCACAGCACTGAAAGTATTACAACCCCCGGTGTTTGGCTATCAGGTATGACCACAAGTCACAGTGACGGTGACAGTAACTGGAGTGGTGAAAGTGGTACAACTCGTCTTCTCGGTGATTTTACAACTTCAGGTTCTGGAATTAGCGGCGGGGGCGGTGGTTCCAACGATGGCTCCAACGGCAATGACATCAGCGGCAACGATGGTAATTCAGGCGGAGACAGTAACAGGAACAATAATAATTTGACTACTGAAACTGTTTTCAAAGTCACTACTGTAAGGGATTCTGATGCAGCTTCAGGGAGTACCAGCAGGACTACTGATGGTTATAATGGAGAAGGCAATAACGGCGGCAATGACGGCGCCAATAACGGAATAGAAAGCAACAATAATAGCGATGGTAACAATGGCAAGGAAACAATGGCAACGGTGATGATGGAAACAGTAACAATGGCAACGGAAACAATGGCAACAGCAATGCTGGGAACGGTGACAATGGAAACGGCAACGGTAACAGTAATGGGAATAGCAATGGCGGGAGCAACACTGGTGGGCCTGGCAATGGTGAAAGCACCACTACGGGCTTTATGGGTGGAAACAAAACTAACGTTTCAAGCCCGTGGTACAACGCCACACATTTATTTGTCAATGGCACATATGTCAACCGAAATGTAACAGGCAGAGACTATAATGAAACTATTTTTGATGGAGAGGGAAATAAACTGTGTACGGGAAATAGAACAAACTGTTCCGTTTCGAACTGGGAAAACTATAATGGCACGGACTGCGTGCCAGATTCATTGAATAATTGCACGAGTTTAGAAAACTTGACCGATTCCGGTGATGTTGCTTCCGACAATTCGTCTTCTAACAGTGTCACCTCCGAAGGGATAACCCCAGGGGAGCCTACAGCACCCTGGGGAGAAACCTTCACGGTTTATGCAAGGGCAGAAGACATCACGAATTTTACATCCCACGGATACAGATGTACAATACTCAACGACACTGACCCGGTATTTGATACCAGTTCTGTTAAACCATCAGAGAATTTGACCAATTTTCGCAACGCCACAATCAACGAGTCTGAATATGAGGAAAAAAGGGAGTACATAAACCACACGGTTAGTGTAGAGGACAAATTAGTGGTATTAAACGAAATGAAAGCAAAAACCAATGGAACGGTGATTGATGAGATAGGACTATTAGCCAATGAAACAATCGACAAAAATAGCTCTTTGATTTCCCGTAGGAAAACCACCTCCACGAAAGTAAATGGTAATGAGACGTCCGACGACAATGACGACATGGTAATGGGCGAGAAAATAACTGACGATTTCATGGCTATTTCGGACGCAGATAGAAACGCAACAACTATTAATTCCACAAATTCGACCAATACAAACGTTACTTATGTACTTGAATTTGATATGATCGTTCAGAATGACAGCATGTTGTATTTAAACGAATCATTTGATGACGAACAAGAACTGACGAGTTCTGGCAATGAGCCAAACGATATTTCCCTTTTCACTACACCGCCCAAATTGAAAATCAGGTGCGTCTTTGTGGGAATATCTTTTTCGCCCGAAACTGCAACCATCCCTTTAATGTATGGGGATGACATTGTAAACATAAGCGGAGTCGATGGTTTCCCGGACAATGGTTCTGCAGCGGTGAACGTTACTGAGATGTATTGTGCCTCACATTACGTTTGTGCCCAGTATTTAGCCTGGTTTTTCATTTTAGTGCCCATTGTCTTAGTGCTCCTCATCATCTGTTGCACGTTTTGCTGCAAACGCTGTTGCAGACCCAAATCCTCCAAGGAACAGCGACTTCAGAGATACCGACCTCACTCTGGTAAAGTCTTCCCTAAGGATACACTCAAAGTGCCTGAACCCCCGCGACAGAACGGTAATACGCGATCGACGGGGACATCCACAAACAATGCCGATGGCAATAAACAAACGAACCTGAAGACAATGCCAAATGGAAATCACAAAAACAACACTAATTCTGCTGTACTGGCAGACAAAAGACCGTTTCCTCCACCACCACTAAAGAGCAACACGCCACCCCTTAAAAATAATACCGCTGGCGCTGCAGCAGAGAAAAAACCATTTCCGATGCCGCCCTTAAAAAATAAAATAAAGCCAAGTGAAAAACAATTGGTATAATTGTATCAGATCCTGATTACTGTGTTAAGTACCAGAACAGCCAATCCATTGTTCTGTAAAACATGAATTAAACAGCTACATGTGGAAGTTCTTCGAAAGACCCACTGGTACCGTCTTTCCACGAAGGGGTGGTATATTACCGCGGCACTTGCTATTTACTAGGGGCGAATTCTTTCGATTATCCCCAAATGCTCTTTTGAAAATGGTGATAGTCTTGGCGGCAGTGTAATTAATAAAAAATACTTATTGAGATTACATCAGGTCGCTGGAAGACACGTAAATGATGGTATCGCACAGGTAATCATGACTTTTTAATTATAGCTTTAGGGTGGAGTTACGTGATATAGTAGTCTCAATAGCGATTTCATTGATTGCTTAGAACAAATTACTTTTCTTTCCAAGGTACCTTGCGCTGTGTTTTATTTGTTACGAGGCGTGCATGTTCTTCTCTGAGATGAATTATTTCACTTGCACAGTCTCTTCTTATGAGATTTTTGCAGAAAGCATGTAAGGTTGAAATAACTGAATTGAAAATGACGTTTTCGATGTTGATATGTCACATAGACGTGCCTATAAGTCTGCAATGTGTGTCTTAATTGTTCAAGAGCGTGTTTTAACACCCTGCAAATTAAATATCATATTGTTACCATTTTATTTGTAATTGGTTTATTATTGCCATACTGAATGAAAATAAAACTTAGAATACAATTAATGTCAGTTTGAGACCTCTTTCTTTGCTCCTTTTTTCACTTTAAAGTTAAGTCTGAATTTCAAATTCGGTACAGACCCGCTTCTTCAGTTTTAAATTTCCATATATGCCCGCTTGACGGCCTTACGGACAAAATCCTGTATATAAATCCTGTATGTAAATATATTATTGCATTAACTTCACTTTTTCATTCCGTTAACGGTATTTGAATTAAAAGATGAAATTGATTATACATCTAAGGTTCTTTAGAATCAATGGCTGGAATTTTTACGACATAAGCAAACAAAGTGAAAAAAAAACAGGGTTGATGTTACTGATCACCATTTGACAGAGTACATCCAAGACTATATGAATTACAGGATCAGTGTATATGAACATGAAAAGAAATGTGAAAACAAAAAACATTAGGATTTTTTTATAACAAGTTTATTTTTAATTTATTTGACATGTTCCTACGCTGGTGGTACCGCTAAGATTGCAAGCGCTTCCCCAGAAAAAATGTCAGTAAATGTACAAAGTATACAACCACTTTGAAAAAGTAATATAAATTTGAAGATGGACCTCTTGCCAATCTGAGTGTCAGTTGTAGCACTTTTATTAAAAAATAACTCTTCGAACATGTTTATCTAAGCAGTGTAATTCAATGAAAGTTTTTCATTGCGCTTTGATTTTCAAGTAGCGAAATTGCAGTGCGGAGCATTTCAGATATTCTGTGGCAGTGAAAAGCTTGTGACGTAAAGACGCCGTGTTTTGAGAACCCCTATCCGGATTCACAGACTTTGAAGAACAGACAGTAGAACATCTTTCCGGTTGAAAAATGGATTCATTATCTTTGAAACGTTTTAGAACTGCTTATTCCTTCTAAATAACCAAACGACGCCTGCGTCCCTTCACTCTTCGTCGTCTTCCTCTTCCTCCTCTTCCAAATTGGCTTCCATCTTGTCACATAAGTCCTCAAATTTATTGACATCGTCTTCAACGACACAGGAAATCAAAAATAAAATTATGAAAACTGAAAACGATAACCGTCCATGAACATTTTATAGGAAGTTCTTACGTCATTCAATTTATGTTGATTTTTTTTCTGCTGTCAAGACAATACAGAGCAATTTGAATCTTTAAAATCATATTGAATGTTAATCAAATTACCACACCTATTTTTCAATGATTGAGGCCCATTGGCCATTACCATTATAATTTTATTTTTAAAAAAGATGTCCTCTCTATTTCTTACCTTTTTCCAAGCCAAGACACGTGCCCCACTCGCCTAAAGTGATCATGCGGTCATCCCCTGCGCACGTGTCCAAGAAAGGCCCAAGACAATGCTCAAGAGGCTTCAACATGGATGTAAGCGGCAGCAACTCCCTACGATTAACGCTTCTAAAAAGACGTTGAAAACATCTTCTATCATCGTTTCTAATTTTTCATTATTACTAACTTTTTGCAATTATTTAAGCCATATTTCTGGTTCTGCAAATGCCTAAGCATAATATGTCAAAGAAACACTGGCATTGTCCAAAAAACAAGAACAACAACAAAAGCAACCAAACACAGTTCATACTTGTCTTTTGATTTATCCAGGTCACAGAACTTCCAGATGACTGGAATAACGGAGTGTTTCCCCTTAGGTTGACTCTTAGCCTCTTCTGCCAACTTTTCTGCAAATTCAGTCAGATCTTTTCTTGCAGACTGCAAATAACAAAGAGGTAACAGTTTTATTCTGCACTTGGTCAGTTCGAATATCGATAATAGTTTCTGTCACAATCACAATCGCAATCTTGCAGCGTCTTTCCTACCGCAATTTAACCAGGTGGCACCGCAAACAAAGTCAACATGGTCTAGTGAACGCTAACATCTCACACTGCAACAGCGATAACCAATAACGAGGCACCTGTCAGATAGGTTGGTAAACAAATCAAGTATGTCATTAGTCCGTGAACTTTACACCATGAGGTAAAATAACACAAGCTGACCTGGGCTCCTTTGTTTTCTGAACGATAAGGTCATGATATGCTCTCTATTTGAAATGACCAAAAAGTTCTAAAATAAGAGAGAGAGAGAGAGAGAGAGAGAGAAATTTTGGGACAAATCGCAAAAGGGATATTTATGGCTGTGGTAGAAGTATGCTCCAGTTAACTTGAAATTATAAATATACCGCAGCGAAGACACAAGCCGGGTTACAATGTAATTCAATGAGTCTTACGTTGGCACAGCACAGCTTTATGGGTGGAGGATCTTCCTTTCTTCAGTAGTAGTTTCCCTTCACATAATCAATTCAACAAACAGATTAAGATCTTTCCAACCGTTTTATTATTACTACCTAAAGTTATTCTTGTTTCTTTGTGTTTAAAAATGTCTGAGGATCCTTAACTCGGGATTTTACGAGGTCAATACTGAAGACAAGGCTGTTGATTCTCCAATTATCTTATTTATTGTTATTACTCCAACCTAAAGTACACACCTTGTGTTTTGGTTTTGTTATAGAAATAAAAGCTAAAAATGATACAAGTGTGGTTGTTGAAATGGATCACCATATGAGTTTTCCAGTAAAAGAAACATACCGAAGAAGAAGAACCCTATGATTCACTGCTGTCCCTTGGAACAATACATCAAGTCTGTCATGGGACAGGATAGTTGATAACGGCTTGTTAACACTGACTTGCACAGTTCTGTACAGAAATTGCACGACGGATAAGTGAAACTAAAATTGGGTGAGGTTTGGAGACAGTTTATACATCAAGCGCGAGCCTCACTGGATTTGGTAGGACCAGGTCAGTAGCGATTTACTTCTTTGGTAAGACAAACATGGACGCTGACACCGGCAGAAGTACCTAGAAAGGGTTTGAGGTCTTCAACGTGTCACATAGGGACACTGATTGCATCTATAAATTAAACATACTATACATCCACATAAGTCACTCCACTCTCCGTTCAAATATACACTACTTAAAAAGACACACCTTGCCACCATTCAATATAGAATGCTCGTCTTAACACAGATACACTCTACGACATAGGATAATGTGAAAGGACAAAAATATTCCTTGCAATAGGCCTTGCAAAATTGTATGTACCCTTTTCTCCGCCTGGATTTCTCGCCTTTCAAAATTCATTTTAATTCAAGTCTGGCCTCTCAATTACCCTGGCACAGACCGTGTTCTTGGAAAGGTCATTCAATGTTTTCTTAAACACTAGGCCAAGAATGATTTCAATAGGCAGAGCCTACTATACTAAAAAACAAAAGCAGGTATAATTTATTTCTAAAAATATCACGAAAAACCGTGACGCGTCCTACCCCAGTGTCATTAACATGCCTTTGTTCCAGACCCATCCACTGATCATTGAGCTCTTCACTTGCCACCCCGCCCCTTTTACATATATAAACAGCACATGCATACCTAAAACCGCCGATCTAACCAAACTGCTGACCATTTTTTTCAAATTGCTGGTGCAACTGGAAATATTTAAAAACCATATGAAACATTATTTCGTGGATTATTGGTTCTTGTTGTCTTTTTTTCTTTCCTTCTTTTTTATTTGGGGTGGGGGTGGGGGTAGGGAAGTGGGGGTAGGGGTGGATTCGACATTTTTTAAGTGTGTGGCGCCCTTTCCTGGGTTTGACAATAAAATAGAGTGAAACTCGATGTGTAAATGATTTCATAGAAGATGAGAGCTGGGTTCGCGAACTATTTTACACCACCAGCCGCTCGCTCAATTTAATGCCATTAGCAAGTTATTTTTGGTCCTCTTTGATCCGCCGCTCATATCTCACCCAAAGTCACGTATATGTTTCGAGGATAAATATGTACTGCTCGATTAGTCATTGTAAATACGACGGGAAAATCTGCTTTGCGTTGCATTTCGGGCTCTGTTTATTCCTTTAGTTTGGCGCCAGTAAGTTCTGCTTTCTTTGGTATATAAGGGTTAATACTGGTTAACTGCTGGTTTGTAGTATGCGATAGCTTTTTAAGGCCAATAGGTCATTAGATGGACAAAGCAGCCTATGTCTACAATGTATCATTATCATTCTTTCATCATCATCATAATGGAGACAGTTCGTTAATCTACATTGTACAACTGTCGTTACAACTGTCGTTTAATTGTAAGTTTTCAAAGGCTTCGTATAAGTTCCTTAAAATCTATACTGCCTCTATCTATCTATCTATCTATCTATCTATCTGTCTGTCTAATGCCACACACTCTCTCCACCTCTTCCGTGTATTTTCTCCGCAAACTTACCAGTTCCTTCATAACTTGGAACAGCCACTCGCTCATACGTCTGGAGAAACTTCGCATCTGTCCCTCTGTACACTCCGGGATGTCTGAAAGGCAAAGTCAGCAACATTAAGGCCCCATTCAGAATAGGGGACTAACTAGACCAAGGGTCAAATATGGCCGACCCACTTGAATACTTCCCCACCGGATATCTATTCGGTGTCTAATAGCGGATTAGACGGCAAGCTTTGTAGTGGGTCGCCATATTTGACCCTCGGACTAGTTAGTCCCCTATTCTGAATGGGGCCTAACAAACAGTAAAAATAATATAAGCCTTATTCTCCACCCAGATTTAACATTCAAAAATGCTTTAATAATGGCCTCACTCGCACTTGATATACCACAAGATAAAGCGCACCGTATAATGTAAGAAATGAAAAAAGGGTCAAATAAGACGAGGATATTAACTTCTAGGAGGTACATATTTGTTCTGAATAAAATTCAAAGGTGACGGCAGGGAAATAAACATAGGGTCGTAATCAACTGACATATCTTTACAAAAGGAAATGTGATGGCAAAATTAAGAAAAATAGCAACTCTAATTTGTAATAAATTAATAATTTTATAAATAAAAATAGATTAGATAATGATAATACATGAGTAAAAATCAATAAATAGATAAATAAAAATAATTTTCAAGGTGTTACTGCACGTCACACAACGTACACGGCCAAAAGAGAAGCCTGGATGAAGACGGAGAAAGACTTCATCCGCTTTCACGCAGTCTTCCTTCCTCCGGGGGATCTTATTAACCAGACATCTCAGCTGGAGAAGATTGCTGAGATTACTATCAGTGATCTATGAACCGTCCGTTTCCTAGAGGTCTTCCTAACCTGCTGTGCCCAAATTTTTCATTCACTTGAATTGATACAGATGCCTGGTCTGTTTATAATGATGGGTAGCGCTTAAAAGCATTAATACTTATTTACCATTGTACTGCATATAAAATTTACTAAGAATTCCCGTTAATTTTTTTTTTTTTTGTTATTTTTGTAAAATTTATGCTGAATCATAGGTAGAGGTATTTTGAAAATTTTAATGACAAACATGGGTTTATATCACTTGCTTGCAGAAAATAATTAATTTGCAAAATGTCCAATGAACATTCCGTATTAATTTGAATGAATAATTCATTGACATGTGGCAAGTCAGTTCCTCTTTTTTTTCTTTGCAAAAGAACGTTCATATTGGTTGTGACTAAGTTACAGTTGTGATATTTTCCCCAATTTTTCAACTTAAAAAAAGATAATATCTGAATACCCTAGATTTTATAGTCCGCAGAAACCACATCCCAAATATCAGCATACCTGCTAGGTACCATACAGTGGGGTTTAGTTACCCTCCACTTGTGAGTCTTTCCCCTTCTCCTGTAGCAACAGTGAAGTTCTGCGGTCAAGAAGAACCCGACCCATACACCTACTGTGTCCGTTGTTTTCATAGTGATGTATCTCATATCCCACCTGTTTCTCTGTTTGATATTCAACTGATGGTTAGTTCGATGCCCCTGGACCCCTTCTGAGTTTCAGAGACCACTGGAAAGTCTCCTGCATGTTGATAACGAGGGAAGTTTCCATTGACTTCTAAAACAAAGGGTTCCTGGCAACAGATCTGCATAGGATACTGCTGTATTAGAGTTCTGCAGGGTGTACCGTTACGGTGGGGTTTTACCGATGTTCCGATGTTTGCTTTATTGCACATAATTCAGTTATATCCAGGTGCTGGTGCAAGAGGAGGAATTTCGATCAAATTTGGTTTAATTGATATCCGTTGACCGACTTTTAGGACTTTTGTAGAGTCCAAACTGTGACATACCCTAACACAAGACATACCGTTAAAATTTCTGAAACTCACAGCATTGGCACTGTTTTCCTTATAATACAATTTTAATCAAACCCAGGCTAGGGTGCCAGATTAAGATTCCTCGTCTGGAAGATGTTCCGAGGGTCAGTGGCTTGATACGCTGTTACACGTGATTTTGAGCTCTACCTGTCAAGTTCAATCCAAACGCTAAATCCTTGGTACGTCGACGAAAACCGAGGTTGTCTAAGGCAACCTGATAGAACTCATATCATTGGATCAAGAAATGAATAAAGTTCAGAGGAAGTTCAGAAGATTATCAGATAATTTGATATTTTCATTAACAGGTGAGGAAGAACGTGACGTAACACAAATAGATATGTATCTAATATAAAGTCACGTTAAATGACCAGTGGTAGCGGATATCTAAATTGATAACAGTTTATATCACATGTACCTCATCCTATTTAGATGTTAGTATTCTAAAATCCATTTGTTATGACCCCTTAAATCTTACGCGCATAATGTTTTAAGTGAATAGTGAACGCGTTCAGTTTTCATCAACTGCAATATCGTGATTGAAAGGGCAACATTAATCACAATGCCTCTTGCAAAATTCTCAATTTTACCTTTGCATTCCCCATAATAGTCCAGATGGGCTTTCTTGTGTTCCTTATTCTGACACCCTTCCTGTCCTCGGTGACACAGACACCTTTCGCGGTCCAAGTCACACTCGCTGGGAAACGTCTCGTTTTGGGTGCTGCACACCTAAAAACATATATATATATATATATATATATATATATATATATATATATAATGAGTTTTTAATATCGGTTTAAAAGTTAAAACGATTAGACTACAATAGTCAACATTTAGATTCGAAAAATACCATAAAATTTGACAATCCAAAAACTTAACATCCTTTATGCTACTTTCTTTTACATTTTAGTAGGTGAATCCGGACACGAACAAAAACTTTGGCTTCAGAATCATAAAGTGTCATCAGACTTAATGCTATGGAAAAAACTAATACTTTTTCTCTTGGGAGACCAAGGGCCTAGCTATTCATTAGATCATGAGGACCAGAAGTGGCATTGCTTCGCAGATCTGTTGAGAAGAGGCTTCTTTATTTTTTCTCTTGCAGGATTAGCGAAATCCAACCCATCCACCTGCATATACCAACCTTTAATGGTTTGAGCTCGTGGCACTTAGACGCGCACACACAGATCCGATGTCCGTCCTCGTCCAACGTGCACTCGTGACCGAGTTTACATTTCTTTTCTCGGCAGGCATCGGCGACTGGAAAACAAGCAAAAGCCACAGGAAAAGCTGCAGGAGTTGGCGTTGTCGGCCTTGGGCTATATTGAGCTCAATTTTGTGCGTTCGCACGGTAAAGGAAATATTTACTGCGTAACATCAAATTATTGCCAATACATGTGGTAACGTAATCTACAGCTATTTCTACCAGCAGCCTTTTCTACCAACTTTCTTTACAAAGACTTGACAAATTATTTAAGTACATCTCCACGGTACCGGTTTTTATGTCAAACTTTTGGAAAACTGGACAGGTTGGAAGCATGAGTTCCTTCAAAGGTAATTTTCCATCACCCTGAGTTTTGCGATTTTCCCTGTCCAGATATGCTTGACCACTACGTAGGAGTCGTTGAATGTACTACCTTAATAAATGAGTTCCCGACAAACTCAGGGTGTAAACACCCAAATTAATGGCAATCCAATCGAAATCATTTTCTTTCACCAATCCACGTCAATATCGCTCCACGGTCATCTTTTTGACACCCTGGGTTTTGATATTACCGGAAACCCACCTCTCTTACATGTATCAGCATGTAACTTCTTTTTCCACTTACTATAACCAGTAATCTCTGAAAACTAGGGTACCTCTGAGGATCTTGTTACCAACAATATTACTTACTCTTTGCCTCCAAAAGGTTCTTCTCGTTGGTGGCTTCTAAATCCTCCTCCGTGTCCGGCTTCTGGAAAAAAAAGTAAAAATGTCTAACTTAATCAGTTGCAGAACTCTTTGACAGAGGAACAAAGGGATGGTGTGTCTTTTTTCTACAATTTGGGGGAAAAGTTCAGTGGGGACCTCTGCCATTGGCGAGGACGACATGAACTCTGACCTCTTATATTTTAATGTTGGGTACCTGATGTAATTTGATTACAGTTGGCGAAGCGTTCAGGTGTTAAAACTGATTAGAAGTGATCCAGAGCGAGCCAGCTATTTATAGGACATCGCCACGTCGAATCCGATTATTAGTTCCTTTTTCAGACTTCAAACAAAATACATGCAAAGTCAGTTTAACGCGATGTTGTTGGAAAAGAACCAAATTCCAGTTTTCCACTGACTGTTGTTTTCCATTAATAATGGTTATTGCCTATTAGGGCCAACCTCCGTTAACCACAGCGAGGAGATGAAAAAAGAATGGCGTGGTGCAGTAAAAATTTACATTAAAATAATACTGCAGCACCTCGATGTGTATGTTTGAATGCAAAAAGATTTGATTGAGATACTGTGATCACCGTTCTGATTCAGTGGTCAGGACATACTGACCTTATTTTTATAGTGGGATCTAATGGGATCTAATGTCTCCCTTTTTTCGACCCAGACTGGATATAAGACACTAAGGAAATGCCTGCCAAAGAAAACTTTTGACTCAGACAAGAAAACACAATTTTGGACAGAAACAAGAAAACAGCATGGAGTGTTCTTTTAACAACAAATGCTCGCGGTAGTGCCCATGTGGACGCCGTGCGTCGCCGGCAATTCAATGATTCATATGAGAAATGCTACACACATGGGTGTATTTTCTTAAAATTTTGCCAGAAAACACTGGTAAAATAAAAAGAGTAAACCACTGTACTGTATCTTATATTGCACGGTTGCATCTATGGCATCTAGTGATCAGTTGCCTTGGCAACCGGAAACCTTAAGCCAATTACTCCAGCCGTTACTCTGACCCAAAAGTGCTGTGTGAATTTACACGTACAGCCGGAATGGCATTTTCCCAATCTTTGGCACTACTGGTATTAACAAAAACCATTGAAAAAGTAAATACCAATTGTGAACAGAATACTTAATTAATTTCCACTTTGACACTACGTTTTTGACCTCAGCTTATCCTTATTTATACGTTTACTTATCTTTTTATGAGACTCTGTAGTTTGAGATATGGCACAGTATTGTATTCTCTAAGTCCGTTAGCAAACGTTTGCATCGTAACGTAGATGTTTACTCATTGTTATGATCTGTTGTATGCTCAGGGGTTGTTTTAAACTACGTACGCGTCACTATCATTCAATCCTGAAATATCCTTCCAGGCATATGAAAACGGAAATGTCTTCTTCTCTGTTTCTATATATCTCCGGTTTATCTCATATAAAATTTGACATCAGTCGTATACATGGTTTTGCTCAATGACGGATGGCCTGTCTTACCTCTGCCAAGACGCATGTCGCGGCCAAAAGCAGGGCGGCAAAGGCCACAAGTGTCTTCCCTGCCATCTTGCGTTCCTCTGAAAAAAATAAACAGATTAATATTCCCCTTTTAATCTGTTATGCCCAATTTATATCGGCCCCCCTGCGTCTCTAATAGAGAATGTTATGCAATGAAGGTCTCGCGTTACGCCACTCAGTCAGTTTATTAGTACACAATCTTTGCGATTAAGTTGTCTGTCTGGCAGTCTGCCAGTCACAGTCCATCTGTTGTTTCCTGACCGAGAACAGTGTCTGGTTTCAATCGTAATTCAACCCATACTACAACTATACTACTACTGCTACTACTGAATGTGTGGCTTTGTGTCTTCCAAAAATGATAGCGGACTTGTTTACTATTTCCGGACAAAGTTGCCATCTTCGACTTTTCCCCACGCTGGCAAACCAGATGGTCTGACAAGATTTTCTTTCAATAATGCACTCACTTCACTTTTATTTTTTTAAAGGATGAAAAACCCAGTGCACAGTGCAACGTGTGTAAGCCCCCAGAAACGTTTATCTGAAAAATACCTGATGATGATTTTGCATTCTCATATCTTTGAATGTTTTTCTTTTTCAAATTACAATATTCATTTAGATGAATGAACAATGAGGACAGAAATCCGCTTACTAATTTGCAAAACATTTCACATGAAAGCCATGGCCGCCCCCTTCTTAAAACCACGCTTCCTTTAATTTTTCTTGTAATAAAATGTTGTTTTGAACAAACGCGCGGAAAAAGAACGGAGCAATAGCTGGAGAAGGAAATAAAAAGCAGCTAAATTAGATTATGACAATCTAATAGTCTAGCTGTAAAATGTGCCAGTTATTATTTGTCGCTTCTATACTAGCGGGTTGAGATGAAACAAAGGAATACAAATAAAACACCCTAAATTGAGTGGGGAAAATATGCCAGCTATTTCATTTATGTGCTCACAAAGCCGATTCCCTTTATCCGATAGCAATTGAGAGATACAAGGTAGAAAATGGTCTTCTATTGATATAGCGAATTAATGTAATGCGCGCAGGCTACTTCAAGTCTAACTTTCATCGGTCTTTATTTAATTACATTTAAAGAAAAGAGAGCTAAAACATTGACCCGGGACAAATGCTTCCCATTAGTTCTAAAAAACTCAACTTTTCTTTGTTTTCCAATAAATAAAAGCATTCGATATTCTGTTAAAACATGAATAAAGAAAGAAACAGATATGCAGCGGCGCCACCGAAACCGTTTCGAGGGAATTCAGAGTTACATTTAAGTCAAATAAATGCTCCCTGATACCATGTGGCGGATTGCAAAAGATATAGAAAACGGAGAAAAATACATTCGGAAGTTTATATTGGCACAAGGTATCTTGAATCAACTGGAACTGCTAACCCAACTTCCTAGCTTGTTTTTTATAAAAGATCTTATCGAAAAATGCACTGGAAATAAATACATTGTAGAAGGTGCAAGTCGCTCTTGAATTATATATCTGTACATGCACATCACCTTATTGCGATGTCAAACCACAAACTGCAGTAAACACTAACGTAAAACTCGAGAACTCTTAAATCAGATAGCTTTAGTTCCTCTTCCTGAATGCATAACGTTAATGTCTATCTATTCATCAGTTACAGCTATGATACAGCATGGGAATGGTCTCTTTAAAAGGTTAACTTTTTAAATACTGAATTGAAGCCCTGTCCCTCAGCTTTGCCACACAACACTGATGTGAGCTCAAATCCGGCGAAATTTTGACCCTCCTGACGAAAGAATGACATAATCTCTCTTAGAGTTTTTTTTTTTAATTTTGAATTCCTTAAATGTGAATATTGTAACAAAATAGAGCTAAGCAGTTTTATTCAGGTGACCCGACATGAAAGGACCTCGTCTCGCCGATCGTAACATGCATGGTAATTTCTACAATCTCATTCAGTTAACACCTTGTGTTTTGAATGAAGTTAGGAAAAAATCATTAACTTTCCGCGTTGAGACCAATACACGTGCATCTGATTTGTTTACGTATGTTGCGAAGTCTAGAAAATATGTAAATAAGACAGAAATACTGCTGAAAACTGAGAGTGTCCCTTACCTGCCAAAGGTCAGTTCTAACACGTTGTCAAAAAGTGACCAGCGTCCGTTGCAGGGCTAGCGGGCTTAATGAACTGGGCGTTGGTCAGGCTCTCGGACAAACAATAGATTAACTTTGCAAACTACAAAATTTACCCGGAGTAAAATTCGACTTGAGCATTGCACACGCGTATTTACTTTAAGAGTTAACTGGGTAGCAACATTTAACTGTTTAAGTCACTTACCTGTACGTTCTCTCTCTATTTACTCTGCGTTCCCTTTTTCTGGACCGACTGCCTGCAGCTGGCAAAGGCTTTATATACACGAGTGGCGGGGTTCGTGATTGCGTCACTTCGGCTGTTTCCGGAAGACTCAAGCCGAAGACGATGTGGCAAAGGGTATGAGTCAAATATGAATGGAAAAATTAAGAAAATGAGATAGTTAAATTGACAAAGATAAATGGTAATTTAAAAAAGAGATGGAGAGGGAAAAGATAAAAATGACGACTGTGAAAAAAAGCGAAAGAAAGAAAAACAAGCAGACGAAACTTAAGAAAAAGCACTGAGGAATGTTTTCCCCTTTTATTAATTACCACGTAAACAAGGAACACATAATCACTTAACTTATTCAATTAACCGAAGTTGGTATTTCCTTCTCAAAACATTTATCACGCGTGCTTTCCACATAACTTACGGCTTACAACGCAGTGCCTAGCACACTTTCGCTGCGGCTAATCTCCAATCACGAAATGTGTCACCTGTATTCTGTTAATTCATGATGCCCAAATCAGACACCTTTTAAATCACTGAGTGCATTCTGTCAGGTATATCTATTCAAATGCAGAGCCCCCCTCCATCCCCTCACCCCCCCCCCCCCAAAAAAAAAGCTAATAACTCAGCTCCTTATATACCCTCTCTTTCCCCTCCCCTCCAGCGCAACGTAAATGCCCTAAATCACTAAACGTTGAACGAATTATTTGAGCGGACTGGTGTCAGCAAAGCAAGTCTGGGTCTCTTGAATTTATTCATTAAATGTGTGTGTGTGTGTGTGTGTGTGTGTGTGTGTGTGTGGACGTGCGTGCGTGCATATAAAAAGGAATAGAATGGGAACCCGAATCCTCTTGTAAAAATGTTGCATACATGTAATGGCATGCGTGATTTTTTTCAGAATATTTCCGAAATGAAATCAGTCATTTTGCTTATCTTTTCGTTCATTGCTTGTGCAACAATGATGTAAGTTATTACTTAAGCTTCAGTCACACTAGTTTGTGAAAACACGAAACCCAGGAACGAACAAGCATAAACAAACAGGGTTGAAAGTCTGCTGATAAACGTAAGCAAAACTAAAACAGATTTGAGATTTGAAAGAAGATTAGGCAAAATGAAACATTTGGGGAAGATGCACATGTATGAATGAATGAATGCTATTTACTCCGAATGCACATCTGACAAGAAAGAGTCTAGAATCTAAGAGATATAATAAATATAAGTGGGAAAGTTAATGATGGTCGAGGCTTTGTGAAACTCACACCCATCCATCTTCATCTCTAGGAAGAAGAAACAGACACAAGACTATTCGTGTATTCCCCCATGAAGACACGCATCTGCATTTTGACAGTATTCACATGTGTGTATGGGCAAATGTGTACACGTACGTGTATGCACAGCTATGTGTTCACATATAATATTGCTATCGTGTGTGTGTGTGTGTGAGTATGGGCGAGCGCGTCCGTCCGTGCTTGTCTTCATCTTCTTATCGCATACATATTAACCCGTCTTCACGCGGATTCTCGCAGTTTATCTAGTCTCGTATGACATCAGACTCTAAAATTAAAATTATCCATTGATTTCATACAAGGATGGTGTAATAGTGCTACGTGGAGGATTATCTAGATTGACCCCTTGACCTTTCTAATCCTTCTTAATAAAGTAAACCAACAGAAAAGTAAGGCATGCCAAATGTAAACCGCCAAACTTACCAAGAGAAATCTTTTTTTAATTTAGATTGATCACAGTCACAAAAAACATAGTTATAAACATGTATTTTCCTGAGTTTAACACATCATTGGCAACTCCTCTCCATTATCTGCATCCCTTTGCTGGATACTGGATACTGGATACTGGGTACAAATGTATACTCATAACAGGGGTGAGTTCTCAGTGACCTCAAAAACTCTAGGTGATGTGTACAGACACACACCTTAACGTGTGAAGATGATAGAATACAGATATACCACAGGTTTGCACACACACACAACTGTTGTTGATGAGATTACGGTATCTGTCAAGTAGCAGAGGAGTGCCTTGACTAATCATATTCAACAACAATGAGACGGGGGAGGGAGGGGGATTACAGGGATAGAGGAGCGAAACAAAAAGATGTTTGTAATGACAGTTTATACATATCCAACATATTTTACACATAGTATTACCTTATACTCATAGTGTTTATTTTTTGTATCTGAATAAGAATATTTGTTTTAGAGAAAAAAAATTAAGTGAAACAATATGCAGGTTGTTTGCTGTTTTGGCGACCTAAAATTGACCCTCGTTTTTTAAAAAAAGTCACACGTGTTTCGCATAAACCAACAGAAAACTACTGTGAGGTACTGGGCAGCGTAAAATGACCATTAAAATGAAAACCATAAATTAATAGTTATGACCTCGGCAAACGTGCTAATCCGTGAAATACATGGACATTAGCGCTGTTTAAGTTATCACTGAGCTTTACCGCAAATAAATAACTAGTTTGGTCCGAGGCAAACGTTAAACTCCACATCGATTTACAATTTTACCACCTTTCAGGCAGCAAATGGCTTCAGAATTCACTGGCAAATACAGGGGTTATGCCGAACTACGCATGTTGCAATGCACCCCTTTCGGTTAAGTCAGTTTAGTTTGAGAAACTACGTTATTTTTTACTTTTTTTCGCCGGTACTTGTGCCTCAAGTCATGTTGTGGAAACTTCCATTTTTCTGATATTCTTAATTTTTTCAATAACTTCAATAAATTCGTCACAATCCATCCTAATTGGTTATCACTTAATGTATTTCAACATAAAGATGACACACTAGCAGCTCGGTTACGGCTTATATTTCGTCTGCACACACCGTGTTTTTCTGGCAGCGCCCTCTTTATCTTGAAATGTGCAGGAAAATATGACACTTTTTATTGTTCAGTAGATTTGGGTTACAGATCCAACTCCCATTTGTAAACATGCCACAAAAAGTACGGAAATTGCGTTTTTTCAACTTTCGAGCGGATTTCTGGGTGATTAATTTTAACGTAGTTACGTTGGCTGAATTAAACCGGTTGAAGTGGATTTTATGTCTGTCAATTTTGTAGCTCTTAAGTGGGAAATCACTGGTATTTAGGCACAAGACCGATAAGACTAGGACTGGGGGAAATACTTACAATATATATATATATATATACGTGTAGCAGAGAGTCAACTAGTACTTATTTTATGGGACGCAAATTTTCGTTATGTTAATTTATTTTTTTGTGAAATAATCAGAGATTGTAGTCCATGTTCATTTTCTCCGTCCAAAAATTATGTTAAGGTATACAATGCATATTTTGATTTATTAATTTTATTCATTATTTTATTACTATTGTTATTTTTTTAGATAAAAGACAGCAGACTATAACAGTCTACCTCTTCTTATCGCATACATATTAACCCGTCTTCACGCGGATTCTCGCAGTTTATCTAGTCTCGTATGACATCAGACTCTATTTCGGATGATGCTATTTCACAATGCTGACGGTGACAGTGTGCATTATGGTTTAGAAAAAGGTGTCAGTGAGGACTTTGAAATACGGTGTGGGTTGGGTCAAGGGGGAGGGTGAGTGATAAGATGAAATTCTGGTGCCAGTGCTAAGTATCTCTACAACCTGACTTTGAAGCCCCCTCCCCTTAGTATGCATAGTTACACTGTATGTATACAGGTTATGACATCATGTTCAATTTGACTGTAGATCACTCCATAGCTAGATAAATGTTGACCCGAGGTGCTCCACACTTATTACACAGGATTTATCTCAACTGATACCTTATTTTAAATACTCCAATCACACCTGGCAAACTGCGATCGAGTCCGTGATTGGTTTTTCGGCACATAAATGTGCAATAGATTAGTGACATCGAAATTTTGGATTGTATTAATCTGGCACAGGTCAGTAGACACTTCACACGAGGTGGGGGCGGACGTCTATTTTAGACGACACAGTTAAATGATCCATTCTTTTGCAACGTTCATATATACCTGTGCCTGTACACGATGAGGGTAAGATACGTCTACCTTTTTTCAGTCTCCTCCTGTCTTCATTTGAAAACTAGCTTCTCATATATATATATATATATATATATATATATATATATATATATATATATATATATATATATATATATATTAGCGGTGATTGCATACTGAATATTAGTCTAAATTGTCGGCGATTGGTAATTATTCCTCCACCAAGATTAGAAATAATGGAAAAGAACTTATAAATTGCAATTGCTAAGCTTGGTGTCTTAGTTGTAGTAGCCTATAAAATGCTTCAGAATAACATGATTTCTTTAAGAAAACAAAAGCAACAACAACAACAAAAATAATTAGAAAATAAATAAAATGAAAAAGGAGCAAAATACAATTTTAGATAAATTATAGATTCATATGAGTCTTACATTATCATTTCAGAACAGTGTGCCTGTGAAACTACATTGCTGTTTTTTGGTGGCCGTGTTAGTGGGATTCGTTCAAGTTCTTCAAACGGAAGCAACTTGTCCTGCGCCTGCGCCATGCGAATGCAGAAACACCACCGATCCATACACATTGAGACCCATATACGTCATTGACTGCTCTTCCAAAGGTTTTACCAATATACCAGCATTTACACATTACACAGAACGAGCAATTGACAAGATTCTGTTGACTGGAAATGCGATCACAAGCGTCAGCAACTCAGCCTTTGAAGCCTTCGAAGCTGTACCCGTGTATGGCATCGATCTCTCCGAAAACAAGATTGCCACCATATCTGCAAGCGCTTTCAGTGCTGTTAAAAAGTCTCTTGGAGTTTTGTCCCTTGCCGATAACAAACTTAAATTATCAACATTGCCATGGCCCTGCCTTGCGCAAACTGTGAATATCTCCGAACTTAACCTTGGCGGAAACACGAATTACGGGGTCGTCCCAAATAACGCTTTTCGAAATCTACAGAAGTTGAAAAAATTAGACTTAAGCCGTTCATACATCAATGCTATCGAGGACGGTGCGTTTTTAGGAGTGGAAGGCCTCCAAGAACTGACTTTTTACGGAAATATGCTGAGTGAAGTTCCGATAAACGCTTTAAAAGGTCTCATCAAATTGCGAACGTTGACCTTCGATTCAAATAGGATCAGTAAGGTACCTGCAGCAGCCTTCCAAACGCTCACAAGTCTACAAGAACTGCAGTTAAGTAGAAATAACTTAAATGCAGCTGATGCCATTGACAAACAGGCCTTCGTTGGTGTCGGAAACAACCTGAAAACTCTTGGTTTTTACTACAGTTACTTGCCATCCGTACCGTCTGAGGCTTTCGCGCCACTGACAGCACTCAATTATTTAGACATTTCTTACAATCAGATCACCAAACTCCCACCAGGGGCGTTATCGTCACTCACGAATCTTACTCAGCTTTCCTTGAGCGCAAACCCTTTGGAGTTTTCCGCTGATATGTTCCAAGGAATCGAAGACAGACTGGAATACATTCTAATTCGGACATTCGGTTTTACTGAGCTTCCATTAGAACCTCTCAAAACTTTAAAGCGTTTGCAATGGGTCGATGCTTCGTCAAACAACTTCACCACCCTGACCAAAGAAACATTTGAAGGACTTGACATTCAGCGCTTCACTTTCAACTGGATGCAGATTCGCAGCGTCGCACCTGACGCATTCGACGACTTCAAAACCTACCGCGGGAACTTGATTCTCTCCGTCACCTCAAACAACATCACCGACCCTGAATTTGACGCCACGCTGTTTCGATGGCTGCAGTTCGGTCAGAACCCAGTCAACTGCACGTGCCGCCTTTACCGCGACATCGCACGTGGTGGACCGGATTTTGAGCTAGACGGGACCTGCGCTTCTCCTCCAGAGTACAAAGGACTAGCACTGCAGTCAGACTTCATGTCTCATGCCAAAGAGAAATGTGGTGATAAACTGATTAAAAGACCGGATACCCTTTACTTCAAACCATATTAAGCCATTCTAGTACTTGTACCATGTACTGTCAAAATCCTCCTTGGTGCAACTTCTATGAAACATAATGATAATAATAATAATAATATTAAATTTAGAATAGTGCATTATGTTATCTTTTTTACTGTTTGCTCTGATGTGTAATTAAATTAATAATAAACAAAATTTTAATGAAAAATTCGCCATATAAATTTTATCGTTTCTCTTTTCAACGTTCCTTGGGTCTATGATACATGAAATAATTTCACCTCTATGGGCACATTACTAATGAATCTATCGTTCTACGTAGATGGATCCATCTCCGCGGGGACTCTCGCTGAATGTAATCAGATTAATTGAATGACACGCCTCCTCGGGCAGCTGGGGGTGCAAGCGTGCACCCGTACGTGTATGCACGCATCTGTGTTCACACTACGTACAGTGCTAATGTGTGAGTGTATGTATGTGTGTGTAGGTTTGAGAGAGAGGGCGTGTGTGTGCGCGGGCGCGTGTGTGCGTCCGTGTTTGTCTGCACATCAGTTATCCAGTTTGATTGACTTAAAGGATTGTGTAATGATTATCTAGATAGACCCCTTGGCCTTTTTAATCCTTCTTAATAAAGTAAATCAACAGAAGAACAAGGCACTTCAAAAGCAAACTGCCAAATCTAAATAAAGAAATCTTCGGTGTTCGTTCTTTAAAAAAGATTAATAAGTGAAGACGCAAAAATATTCATCTGTATATCTTAATTATGAGGTCGGAAACGCGTCTCTATTATCCGCATTCCTCTGCTCATGGACCATAGGTACATGCTCTGCTGCATACTGGTTTGGTCCGAGGCAGATATATCTGTCTGTACATAAAAGGGGGCGTCAGCGAAATGGTAGCAGTTTAACGATGCTCAAAAGAAATTGTCGTCTGTACGCCTATAAAATAAAAATACCGTGAAGCATTATTAGATTAGAGAGACGTATTGTAGAAAATCGTCGTCTCGTACGGCTCTCTGTCGTCTGATACAAGTCACCGTTACCTCTTCTCCTCCTACACCCCAAGGACCTTTGTCCCCATTTCTTAGAATGAAGTCAAAAATAATTTCAACTTGATCCCCCAGGATTTCGGTCTTTGTCGGTGCATTCGCCTGGGCGTGACGCTCTTCAAAATTTTGGAAAAAAACCCNAGCTAATAACTCAGCTCCTTATGTACCCTCTCTCCCCCCTCCCCTCCAGCGCAACGTAAATGCCCTAAATTACTAAACGTTGAACGAATTATTTGAGCGGACTGGTGTCAGCATAGCAAGTCTGGGTCTCTTGAATTTATTCATTAAATGTGTGTGTGTGGGGGGGGGGGGTGCGTGTGTGTGTGCGTGTGGACGTGCGTGCGTGCATATAAAAAGGAATAGAATGGGAACCCGGATCCTCTTGTAAAAATGTTACATACATGTAATGGCATGCGTGATTTTTTTCAGAATATTTCCGAAATGAAATCAGTCATTTTGCTTATCTTTTCGTTCATTGCTTGTGCAACAATGATGTAAGTTATTACTTAAGCTTCAGTCACACTAGTTTGTGAAAACACGAAGCCCAGGAACGAACAAGCATAAACAAACAGGGTTGAAAGTCTGCTGATAAACGTAAGCAAAACTAAAACAGATTTGAGATTTGAAAGAAGATTAGGCAAAATGAAACATTTGGGGAAGATGCACATGTATGAATAAATGAATGCTATTTACTCTGGATGAGTCTCCTCGAATGCACATCTGACAAGAAAGAGTCTAGAGTCTAAAAGATATAATAAATATGATTGGGAAAGTTACTGATGGTCGAGGCTTTGTGAAATTCAAACACATCCATTTCTCCAGGAAGAAGAAACAGACACGAGACTATCCGTGTACTCCCCCATGAAGGAACGCATCTGCATTTTAACAGTATTCACATGTGTGTATGGGCAAGTGTGTACACGTACGTGTATGCACAGCCATGTGTTCACATATAATATTGCTAGTGTGTGTGTGTGTGTGTGTGTGTGTGTGTGTGGGCGAGCGCGTCCGCCGTGCTTGTCTTCGTATTAATTAGCCATTGATTTCATAAAAGGATTGTGTAATAGTGCTACGTGGAGAATAATCTAGATTGACCCCTTGACCTTTTTAATCCTTCTTAATAAAGTAAACCAACAGAAAAGTAAGGCATGCCGAAAGTAACCCGCCAAATTTACCAACAGAATTTTTTAAATAAGACTGATCACAGTCACAAAATCATTGCTATAAACCTGTATTATCCTGAGTTTAACACATCATTGGCAACTTCTCTCCATTATCTGCATCCCTTTGCTGGATACTGGATACTGGGTACAAATGTATACTCATAACAGAGGTGAGTTCTCAGTGACCTCCAAAACTCTGGGTGATGTGTACAGACACACACCTTAACGTGCGAAGATGATAGAATACAGATAAACCACAGGTTTGCACACACACACAACTGTTGTTGATGAGATTACGGTATCTGTCAAGTAGCAGAGGAGTGCCTTGACTAATCATATTCAACAACAATGAGACGGGGGAGGGAGGGAGGGGGATTACAGGGATAGAGGAGCGAAACAAAAAGATGTTTGTAATGACAGTTTCTACATATCCAACTTTTTTTACACATAATATTACCTTATACTCGTGGTGTTTATTTTTTGTATCTGAATAAGAATATTTGTTTTAGAGAAAAATAAATTAAGTGAAACAATATGCAGGTTGTTTGCTGTTTTGGCGACCTAAAATTGACCCTCGTTTTTAAAAAAAGTCACACGTGTTTCGCATAAACCAACAGAAAACTACTGTGAGGTACTGGGCAGCGTAAAATGACCATTAAAATGAAAACCATAAATTATTAGTTATGACCTCGGCAAACGTGCTAATCCGTGAAATACATGGACATTAGCGCTGTTTAAGTTATCACTGAGCTTTACCGCAAATAAATAACTAGTTTGGTCCGAGGCAAACGTTAAACTCCACATCGATTTACAATTTTACCACCTTTCAGGCAGCAAATGGCTTCAGAATTCAATGGCAAATACAGGGGTTATGCCGAACTACGCATGTTGCAATGCACCCCTTTCGGTTAAGTCAGTTTAGTTTGAGAAACTACGTTATTTTTTACTTTTTTTCGCCGGTACTTGTGCCTCACGCCATGTTGTGGAAACTTCCATTTTTCTGATATTCTTAATTTTTTCAATAACTGCAATAATTTCGTCACAATCCATCCTAATTGGTTATCACTAAATGTATTTCAACATAAAAATGACACACTAGTAGTTCGGTTACATTTAGTCTGCACACACTATGTTTTTCTGGCAGCGCCCTCTTTATCTTGAAATGTGCAGGAAAATATGACACTTTTTTATTGTTCAGTAGATTTGGGTTACAGATCCAACTCCCATTTGTAAACATGCCACAAAAACTACGGAAATTGCGTTTTTTCAACTTTCGAGCGGATTTCTGGGTGATTAATTTTAACGTAGTTACGTTGGCTGAATTAAACCGGTTGAAGTGGATTTTATGTCTGTCAATTTTGTAGCTTTTGAGTGGGAAATTACTGGTATTTAGGCACAAGACCGATAAGACTACGAACGGGGGAAATACTTACAATGTATATACAGTATATACGTGTAGCAGAGAGTCAACTAGTGCTTATTTTATGGGACGCAAATTTTCGTTATGTTTATTTATGTTTGTGAAGTTATCTGATATTGTATTCCATGTTCGTTTTTTCTGTCCAAAAATTATGTTAAGGTATACAATGTACTTTTTTATTTATTAATTTTATTCATTATTTTACTATTATTATTAATACTTTTTTTAGAAAAAAAAAAAAAAAGACAGATGACTATAACAGTCGAAAGGTTCTGCGGTTCAAAAATATACCGCTTACAATATTTTGAATGAAGATAATGAGCACTGCACTGTTCTAACTGCCACTGTTCAGTCTTTCAGTTCGTGGGCTGAGTGGGAGGACCATGAAAGGTTATCATCCGAGATAACCCAATGTCGCAAAATCAAGCGAGATTCTTTTGGGACTTGAATGAGAGTAGGCCCATGGTCAGAAATAATAGTAGATTACCAAGTTCGGTGTGGCAACGCTGACAAAATGTATCCACGGATATTATTCTGGTTGTTTTTTCATATGTTCTCTCCATTTGCGGTCTATTGCACAGCAAAATAAATTCACCATGTTTTTTGTCACTTCTGAGTTATTTTCTAAGTCAATTTCATGGCGTTTCTACATATACTTATGGCATAAATATTAACCCGTCTTCACGCGGATTCTAGCAGTTTATCTAGTCTCGTATGACATCAGGCACTGTCGTCAGACTCTATTTCGGATGATGCTATTTCACAGTGTTGACGTTGATTGTGCAATATGGTTTGGGAAAAGGTGTCCGTTAGGACTATGAAATACAGTGTGGGATGGGGCAAGGGGGGTGGGTTAGTGATAAGATGAAAATCTATAGTGCCAGCGTTCAGTATCTCTACAACCTGACTTTGATGGCCCCTTCTTTAGAACGCATAGGTATGTAAACAGGTTATAGCACTGTGGCTGCTGACACTTCATAGATAATTTTTGACCCCAAGATGCTCCACACTAATTTCACAGACATTATATCAAATGATTCCCTATTATAGATACTCCCATCCTTGGCTTTTTCGACGCGTAAATAAGCAATAGACTGGTTACATCGAAATAGGGGAGTGTATCACAGTCACAGGAGTCACAGGCCAGTAGACACTTCACAAGTGGAGGAGGCGGGTGTCTGTTTACGACCAGGAAGTTACATGATCCATTCTCTCGCAACACTTTTATATATATATACCTGTAACTGAACATGATGAGGGTAAGATATGTCTACCTATACGTCATTTTTTTTCAGCCTCCTCTCCTGTCGTCACATAACAGCCGGTATTAGGAGGGTGACAAAAGTATTGCACCATTTTGCTTTCATTTGAACAACAGCTAGATTTGTTAATTAAAACCGGTTATGCCAAGTTAGTATCTTAACTACAGGTTTACTGTTTATAGAACAGTGCTTTGCCCTTACATAACGCTGTTATAGTGTCAGTATTAATGTTTTTTTTAGGATAGTCACGGTTCAGGAATCTTCTGGGGGCTATGTTGTCCCAAGCTCTGAAGACACTTTGGATGACAGCACTTACGGTGAAGGGGGGATCCTTTTCAAATTTCATTCTGTATATGAGACATGCCTTATCATTCCAGATCAGCAGACCAGTGGTACTACGTTGCCAGATTCTGGTGGCCGTGTTTGTAGGATTCGCTCATGTTCTTCAAACGGAAGCAACTTGCCCTGCGCCTGCGCCATGCGAATGCAGAAACACCACCGATCCATACACACTGAGACCCATATACGTCATTGACTGCTCTTCCAAAGGTTTCACCAAAATACCAGCATTTACACATTACACAGAACGAGCAATTGACAAGATTCTGTTGACTGGAAATGCGATCACAAGCGTCAGCAACTCAGCCTTTGAAGCCTTCGAAGCTGTACCCGTGTATGGCATCGATCTCTCCGAAAACAAGATTGCCACCATATCTGCAAGCGCTTTCGGTGCTGTTAAAAAGTCTCTTGGAGTTTTGTCCCTTGCCGATAACAAACTTAACTTAACAACATTGCCATGGCCCTGCCTTGCGCAAACTGTGAATATCTCCGAACTTAACCTTGGCGGAAACACGAATTACGGGGTCGTCCCAAATAACGCTTTTCGAAATCTACAAAAGTTGAAAAAATTGGACTTAAGCCGTTCATACATCAATTCTATCGAGGACGGTGCGTTTTTAGGAGTGGAAGGCCTCCAAGAACTGACTTTTTACGGAAATATGCTGAGTGAAGTTCCGATAAACGCTTTAAAAGGTCTCATCAAATTGCGAACGTTGACCTTCGATTCAAATAGGATCAGTAAGGTACCTGCAGCAGCCTTCCAAACGCTCACAAGTCTACAAGAACTGCAGTTAAGTAGAAATAACTTAAATGCACCTGATGCCATTGACAAACAGGCCTTCGTTGGTGTCGGAAACAACCTGAAAACGCTTGGCTTTTACTACAGTTACTTGCCATCCGTACCGTCTGAGGCTTTCGCGCCACTGACAGCACTCAATTATTTAGACATTTCTTACAATCAGATCACCAAACTCCCACCAGGGGCGTTATCGTCACTCACGAATCTTACTCAGCTTTCCTTGAGCGCAAACCCTTTGGAGTTTTCCGCTGATATGTTCCAAGGAATCGAAGACAGACTAGAATACATTCTAATTCGGACATTCGGTTTTACTGAGCTTCCATTAGAACCTCTCAAAACTTTAAAGCGTTTGCAGTGGGTCGATGCTTCGTCCAACAACTTCACCACCCTGACCAAAGAAACATTTGAAGGACTTGACATTCAGCGCTTCACTTTCAACTGGATGCAGATTCGCAGCGTCGCACCTGACGCATTTGACGACTTCAAATCTTACCGCGGGAACTTGATTCTCTCCGTCACCTCAAACAATATCACCGACCCCGAATTTGACGCCACGCTGTTTCGATGGCTGCAGTTCGATCAGAACCCAGTCAACTGCACGTGCCGTCTTTACCGCGACATCGCACGTGGTGGACCGGATTTTGAGCTAGACGGAACCTGCGCTTCTCCTCCAGAGTACAAAGGACTAGCACTGCAGTCAGACTTCATGTCTCATGCCAGAGAGAAATGTGGTGGTAAACTGATTAAAAGACCGGATACCCTTTACTTCAAACCATATTAAGCCATTCTAGTACTTGTACCATGTACTGTCAAAATCCTCCTTGGTGCAACTTCTATGAAACATAATGATAATAATAATAATAATATTAAATTTAGAATAGTGCATTATGTTATCTTTTTTACTGTTTGCTCTGATGTGTAATTAAATTAATAATAAACAAAATTTTAATGAAAAATTCGCCATATAAATTTTATCGTTTCTCTTTTCAACTTTCCTTGGGTCTATGATACATGAAATAATTTCACCTCTATGGGCACATTACTAATGAATCTATCGTTCTACGTAGATGGATCCATCTCCGCGGGGACTCTCGCTGAATGTAATCAGATTAATTGAATGACACGCCTCCTCGGGCAGCTGGGGGTGCAAGCGTGCACCCGCACGTGTATGCACGCATCTGTGTTCACACTACGTACAGTGCTAATGTGTGAGTGTATGTATGTGTGTGTAGGTTTGAGAGAGAGGGCGTGTGTGTGCGCGGGCGCGTGTGTGCGTCCGTGTTTGTCTGCACATCAGTTATCCAGTTTGATTGACTTAAAGGATTGTGTAATGATTATCTAGATAGACCCCTTGGCCTTTTTAATCCTTCTTAATAAAGTAAATCAACAGAAGAACAAGGCACTTCAAAAGCAAACTGCCAAATCTAAATAAAGAAATCTTCGGTGTTCGTTCTTTAAAAAAGATTAATAAGTGAAGACGCAAAAATATTCATCTGTATATCTTAATTATGAGGTCGGAAACGCGTCTCTATTATCCGCATTCCTCTGCTCATGGACCATAGGTCCATGCTCTGCTGCATACTGGTTTGGTCCGAGGCAGATATATCTGTCTGTACATAAAAGGGGGCGTCAGCGAAATGGTAGCAGTTTAACGATGCTCAAAAGAAATTGTCGTCTGTACGCCTATAAAATAAAAATACCGTGAAGCATTATTAGATTAGAGAGACGTATTGTAGAAAATCGTCGTCTCGTACGGCTCTCTGTCGTCTGATACAAGTCACCGTTACCTCTTCTCCTCCTACACCCCAAGGACCTTTGTCCCCATTTCTTAGAATGAAGTCAAAAATAATTTCAACTTGATCCCCCAGGATTTCGGTCTTTGTCGGTGCATTCGCCTGGGCGTGACGCTCTTCAAAATTTTGGGAAAAAAACCTGGAATTATGGGAAAAGCTACTACAGAAGTCTGCCGCAAGTCATGAGTATGTCCTTAGATTTGACCTTTGACTTTTATTTCAAGGTCAAACGGCCAAAATTTTCTAAAACTTTTAAATTTCCGTGAAAACAATGTTGGTAGCGATTTTCTGACACTACACTTATACTTGGGGCGTCTTTTTCATCTTCGTGAAAAACTAACAGACATGCCTACAGTCAATATTGAACTCGAATAGGAAATCATGTATTGGCGATCTCACTGCGACCTTTGACGGTATATTTTATGTTCAATTTAACCATAGCACAAAAGCATAACAAGCACATTTCAATATGACCAACATACCACCATTTGAGCAAAATAATTCTTAAAACCAGGTACAAAACCAAGAGGCGGTATTGCCTCCCTGATTCTCTAGTTATTATTATTTGAATTTAGATGTATTTTCCTTCCCCAACGTCACTCCGTCTTCTCATTCTTATTAAAGCTCAACCTATATTCACTATCACTTAGTTTTTAAATAATACAATTCCGAATGAAAAGATACGTTAATAAATAAACGACACGTGTACAAAAAAAGGAACTTTTATTATCATTGTCATCAATACTCATGTATGTACAGATTGTTAATCCAAATGTATTGCACGGCTGTTTGCCAAGGATCATGTAGGCCCATTTCTTTCCCCCTTATATTAATGACTATAAATTTAAATAAATAGACAAGATGACATCAAATTACTTAAGAATGTTTCTTTCATCCAATCACCAGCCTCCTTCTGGAGGCCACAATAAAACACTTACTAACAAGAAAGAGACTGTCACATTAAAAAACAGTTTTCGTAGTTATTTTGAATCAGACAGTTTGACATGAGAAAAAAATAAACAATGAAAAGGAAAGGCCGCCAGCAGCAAAAAGCACCTTTTTATCATAAGCTGCATGTCAAATTGAACACAAACTTGAAACACTGCACCTTAATTGGGCAGTACTAATAGTATGACCCCTCTCATTATGCAGAACTGCAAAATAAACATTACCTTCATAATTTAATGGACTACATTATTAAATTGATATGTTTATTCAATCCAAGTCCACAAAAGTAACTAACCTGAACTGGTTTTGAGAATACAATCAAAAAGTTAAATTACATAAAATGAAGAGCACAGGCTTAAGCATGTTTTTTTATACCTGCTGTTACGTCCTCTCCCCCAAATAAGATAAGGATTTGAAAAGATCTGTGAGGTGATGATCCACTGTGAACTCCTCATATTTACAGGAACAATTACAGTCAATATTTTCAATTGCAATGCCAGAATTGTCTCTAATAAATCAAGTACAGCTGTGAAATTTCTATGGCAACCTCTCGTAATTATAAGTTTGAGTTCCTAATGGGCTTTTGTAGTCCTAAACTGATTAAATTTCACATCCTCCTACTAGGTTTTCATTGTTGAGGAGAAAACATTGTGTCCCTGTTGAGATTTTTTTGCATTTATAGCCGTAAATCAGGACTAACAAAGTACATATTTGTCTAATGCCAAATCTGACCTTTAGAAAGAATAATATAGTTTTTTTTGTCATATTCATCAGTGAGTTAGTTCAAAATACTACACTGGCTTAAAGCAAATTATCAAAAAATATGGCATAAATTAATTTCATTGTAGCAAGAGTCCAATGAGCAGTAGGCATGTCATACAACATTGCCACCAAATATTTGTTTGTCCTCCTTAATCTCAATGTGTCTTTTCAAAATGGCAGCGTTCTTCTCCTGGATACGTCTAATTTTGGCATCTAGGTCATCCACAGCATCCCTTTCATGACCTATTTACAGAAGAATATACAGAATGTGGTTGAAAGCTAGATAAATGAGAAGAACTAAAACACATTGTATTAATGGATTTTGACACCGATCCCTAAAATCAATTGACAGAAACTGTGTTACAACTTTCTCCAAGTCTGACATACAAAAGTTAATTAAAAAAAAAAAAAAACTCACTTAAAATCAACTTGCTGACACATTTAAGCAACATAGCCCATTTAGTACCCCCCCCCCCAAAAAAAAAAAAAGTTTTCTTACCTAATGTCGGTGATTCCGCCTTGTCCGATCTTTCCACTTTGCGTCCAATCATTGGTTCTACTGCAACTTTACGATTAATTTTAATTTTCCTTCCTCCAACATGTGGCACTGTCTTTGCAATTACGGTGTTTCCACTTCCAGAATTATTCTCCACATTGATTCCAAGTCTGGACTTGATACTAACAGTTCTTGACACACTTTCCTGTGATTTGACAAATGTTCTTACATCACTTGGTTCCTGGAAATCCCTGTATTGCACTCTGCTACTTTCTACATTTTTGTCCTTCAAAAACACCCTGGTGTCATGTGGCTCCTCTTGCTCTTGTCCATTTAAAGGCTGAATTATTTTGACTTCCGACTTTCTGACCTCTTTTTGAGAAGATCCCCTGTTCAATTTCACTATATTTGGCATGGGATTTTCACCACCGTGATTCAATTTTAAAATATTTGATTTACCTGAGGGTTTTTTATTTAACTTAATGACAGTGGATTTAGGTTCACTTTGACATTTTGTGTCTTCAAATTCAGTCCGTTCTGAATTTTTATTTTGCTTTACCTCCTCACGTTTTGTAGAAAGTCTGATGATGGTAGATTTGGGTTGTGAACATTCTTCAGTTTCTTCTACAGGTTTTTCTTCTTCCATTTTCACTCTGTTTTGCTTTGGCCTGGTTTTATCTGATGTATCATTTAATTTTATAACACCAACACCTGCTTTAAGGTCTATGTCCATCAAGGGAGTGATGAGTGGCTTGTCTCTATTTACTTGTGGGTTATTTGATATTTGACTGCTGCCTGTATCTAAATGGGGAATGGGGTCACTCTTAACTGACCGGTGTCCGAGTTTCTGGCCTGGTAGTCCTATCCTCTGGAGAATGGAGGGCCTACTCTTTGAGGACTGATCAGGGGTTGAGTCATCTGAAAAAGAATAATAAAATAAGTTTTATATTATGTGCACTGAAGCAAATAAGTATTAATCTATGTAGTTGATAAAATGCTAGTTTCAGCTTAAATGCAAGTTTTGCATTTTTTTTTATTTTGGCACTTAACAAATTATCTAAAATAGCAAACCAATACATAGAAAGCAAAATATTTTATATTGATCAGCGTATGACTCATAACCTTTTGTAAAGCATCAGGCATGTCTAATGAATAAAGTTTCATAATGGTTCACTTTTATCAGTCTACATAATGAACTATGGAATCTCTCAAATTAGTTTTCATTATCAACAGCTCAACCCATCTCTGCAGCAGGTGTCTGTAAAAAGCTAAGCTCGCCAAATACATTTCCTACTACTAAAGTAATTCAAGCACTGTGCTCCACAAGTGGCCATGGCCATGAGAACAGTAGTATTTCATTTTCTGTCCAAGTTGGGCCCAGTTGAAATACACAGCCCGCAAACAATAGCCATGCCAATAAGGGCTAATCCAACTTCAATGTAAGAACATTAAAAAATTAACTACTTTATTAGAATTATTACCTTTGTTAAATGTGACATGTATTATGGGACTGGGCTTTGTCTCCAGATCAGAAGATGTTTTTGGAACTTTTTCTGGAGAATTGTTCACATTTTCTTGCTTCCCTCTCCTTTTTCTTATTAGTTCTCTTGCATCTGTAATTCTAGATGGAAGACCCTGAAGGGCAGTGTCAGGTCTCGAGCTTGCACCGAGGAGAGGTTTAACAACAGGAGGATCAAAAGGACTATTTTCAGTTCTGTTAAGTTCCTTTTCTCTTTTCTTTCTTTTTGGTTGCCACTCGGATTTCTGTGGAGAAGGCATGTAGGGTCTTTTCACCTGAGGGACTAATTCATTTTGTGCATTGTCCTTTTTAACCACTGACAGGAATGATTTCAAAGGTGGGCCCTTTTTATTGTCACTGTCACTTTCACTTTCGCTTTCAAAATCTTCAAATTTCCTTGTAGGTAAACTGTCCAAATGATACCTTCTCTTCGGTCCATGTCTAGCTGGGTCAATTATCCTGCCGGGGTGGTGATCTTTTTGCATATGATCCCTTCTAGTATCTATATCTCTCCCATCTCTTTTTAGTTCCACATCTTTTGCATCTCTTCTTGGGTCCACATCTTTTGTATCTTTTTTTGAGTCTATACCTCTTGCACCTCTTTTTGAATGCATGTCTCTCATGTCCTTCCGAGAGCCGATATCCCTCATAGTTCGTTCAGCACCTAAATGTTTGAAATCCTTTTTGGGATCAGGGTGTCTAGGATCCGTTTTTAACCTGACATCTTTTGCACCAACTTTTGAATCCTTATCTCTCGCACTTAATTTTGGACCTGAATCTCTTTCATTTAGTTGTGACCCTGGTTCTCTGTGAGATCTATGCCTGGAACCCTTTTCATCTCTTTCAGATCTCCTATCAAAATCCCTGTGGCGAGATCTCTCGTGTCCTCTCCTATCACCATATCTGGGCCTTTGAGATCTCTCGTTATTTGGTTCTAGACTAGTATTAATTTTGTCACTTTCTGCGTGTTTTTTTAAGCGCCTTTCACGCTCAATGTCTGTTATGTCTCTTTCAAATAGCTGTCTTGTATCGTGGGACTTTTTCCCCTGTCCAGTGTGCATGAAGCGCCAGGGCTGTGCATCATCCTCACTGTCGCTGTCCTCAGCCAAATCTGCGTCTGAACTGCTACCAAGGGAACTAGAAGAACTTTCTGAATCACTGTCTCTGTCTGAAGTTTCCTGTTGCTTTCCATTTGCACCCTCAGGTATCTCCTTGTCATTGGCCCTGCCTGAATCATTTTCTTTGGCACTGTTTCCAGTTTTATGCTTAGCATCCATCTCCCTTCTTGGTGTATGCTCTTTGTCAGCACTGGTTTTAGAAGGATTTAAGGATTTATCGCGCACAATATCTTTGGCTTCTCTATATGACCTTGACTGACCAGTTCTACTTCTGTCCTCACCCCTGTGAGGAACATTAGGCCCGTCTCTTTTCACTTTCTCACTGTTCTTGTGAGGAATTTGGTCCATTTTAAAATCTCGCCTTGGAGATGTTCTACCTCTCCTAGGATGTTCACGATCATGAGGTCTGTCACTTCGATGTCTAGTCGGCTCCCTAGAATGTGTCCTTGACCTGACCTGACCTTGACCTAAATGTTTTCTTTCATAAGAGTTCGATCGTTTTTCAATAAAATCTCTCCCTAATCTTTCTTTTAAATGTTCTAAAGAGTTTGTGCCATTATTCCGCGAGTCTTTTGCTGACTGTCTCTGTGACCTATTATCAACTCCAGTATTGTGTCTAGATTTTGAGGAACTCTGTCTGTATGAATGGCTCCTTTCTGAATCGCTATGTGAACTGGGTTTTGTGGACGTATGACCTGGCCCTGACATCTGATTTTTTAAATAGTTTACATTGGTACTTTGCACATTTTGTTGATCATTAGCACTTTCAGTGTTTTCTTTTTTGGTTTCATTTTGTTTGTGTTTGACAGAATTTTCTGTTGCACTACTGTCATGGTCATTCTCTGATTCTGATCCTGAAGCTTCATTACTGGAATTCTCCTCTTCACTGCTACTTTTATCTGAGCCCCCAACCTCGTCAACTGTTTCCATGACAACATCCTCATCTTCATCCTCAGTTCCCACATCTGATACATCATTGCTTGACTGATTGGATCCAGATTTCAATGATTCTTTTTCAGCATTATCAGAATCACTATTGTCAGACTTTTCTTCTTCCTCTGCCTCTTCTTCTTCGCTTTCTTCCCCAGACGATGATGAGAATCCTTCACTGTCACTGGACTCATATCGACTGAATTTGTCTGAAAATTGAAGAATATTAAAATGATGAATTATACAGTTTTGCAAATGGCACTCATGAGTAACAAACACAATTTCTTTGAGGTGCAGAGGAAAACGTGTACCACAAATTAATGTCCAGATTCTCCACAGCATGATAAACATTAGGGATTATCCATACGAAGTGAGGTCAACCTCTTAGTGATAAGGGTGAAAGTCTACGTGCAGGGTATGTTTCAGGATTGTTTAATAATACAAAAGTGACACACATAACATACGCTGTTGCATCTGGGTTCTGGAAACCATAGTTTCATTTGGAATATGCCCTTATATGTGAGGTGAGACTTTGTATGCAAAAAATCCTTCTAACTTCGAACAATACATCATACCTTTGGGTTTCTCTCTCTGTGGACTATTTGTGGCACTATTAACGTCAGCCAGACCCCCCAGCCACTTGTCCTGTGGTCTCAGCATTACGGGGACAGTCTTCTCCGTCTCTCTCTGCCCTGGGTTCGTCAGGGTCCCATTCTCTTCCCCCTCAGGCGGGGCTGTCTGGATGACTATCAGGTTACTTGGACGATTGTTGTGTTTGAAAGGGAATGATCCTTTCTTTTCTCTTTTTTGGTGATGGTGTGTTGGTTTTCTTTTTTCACTGCTCAGGAGCTGAATTGGGGGAATGCATATAGAAGTTTGAATCTTAGTTGTTTATCTTTGTGCACATATATGTTTGTTTCTTAAGAATTTAACTTTCCTTTCAAGATGAGAAGTCTTAACATGTCACACATTTCCTTGTACTAATGCAATCCCTAATATAATTCCAAAGATTTATGCAGTTTTCATCAGAATTACAGGGTAATATTTATTACCTTTCCAACAGTTGCCTTCTTGGTCTGCAAAGCAGCAGCTCTTAGAGCAGCTAGTTCAGGATCTTCCCCTGCTTCTTCCTTCTCACTGTCCTTGCTGCCTTCTTCATCTTTGGATTTCTACAAAAGATTTTAATATGTACAATGCTTAATCACAGTTTAAGTTATCTTTTCCTATGTAGAAAAACAACCTCACATATATCATCTACATGCATCCTGGAGCACGTGGGAATAGCAAGCCAATTTTTGAAAAATCATTCAATATCTACCTGACTTATCAATACATCAATCATTTTGCAAAGCATTTTGAATCAATAAAGCAAGTGATTTTACTGAGGTAGCAAGTTCGGTATGCATTTGTTACTTGTTAGTGTGACCACTCCATGTGAAACCAAACTTACCATCTTCATAGAGGCTAACACGGCAGATCTCAGAGCTTCTAGGTCTTCAAGCTCATCTCGCTAGAAACAGAATTTAGTTCTGTAAGCTTTATTGTTGCCTGGCTGAATACCACTAACTTATAAGTCAAATCTATAGATTTATACATAACTGCCTTAAAAATTTCTCTGAAGCAGATGTTTTATGCGGCTTCAAATAATTTATGTCATTAAAAATGCCAGAATGGTTCTTAAATATATTAAAATCCTCATATGATTTCATATGTCATGAATTCGCAGGCACACATAAAGCTAAGCAATAAAAAGTCTTGAAGTGCAAAACTGTGACAGGCCAATGTTTCTCTGTTAACAAGGTAAGAACAGATCTTCAGATTCTAAAAAGTTCTGGATAAAGTACAACAGAAAGCATTAGTCCTTCCAGAGCTTACTATTTGACTTCTGAATTTAACCTCTATCTCTCTCTCTCTCTCTGGTGGCAAATAAAAGCTTTCTGTAAAGATCGCTATATTTGGCTTTGTTTCTGACATTTCAAAGAAGAAGTCTGCTCAGATAACTGATCATAAGATATTAATTCAAAGCACATTCTCCAAATATTTGTCTGAAGAGAAATCTGGAACACTTTTGAGACAAATAGAAGCAAGCAGCATAATTCACAAAAGTCAACAGTGCATAGGCCTATTCCACAGTATTTTTCTCTCATAAAGTTCTTTTCCATCTGCTAAACGTTTACCTATTTCTGTTCAAAATATGTTTCAAGTTCATGGGGCTGCATTTTTTCAGAAAATTAGAAGAGATGAAACTATTTTACCATGGGAAGAAGTCGTCATGGAAGGTAAAAATACTGTGGTACATGTATGACCCATAAAAAGCTAGCACTAAGCAGGCATAAAATTGGCACATTAAAAAGACTTCATTATGTGTTAAATGAAAGAATACTATGGGGCAGTTCAGCGAATAAAAGAAGACTACTGCAATGGGTACAATGATTTGGTCTTCCAAACTTTACTGGTACTACTATAGTACAACTACTAATAAAACTTGTTATGGCAAGTATACCAACTGTAAGATTGGTTATCCTAATTCTTTCCTGGCATTTCCATTAAAATCATTCACAAACTGATTCTTTAAAAAATTGCCAAACCATCAATGTGAGTTAGTCATGCAAACAAAAGAGACATCGGGCAACTCTACAGATTATTATTTGGGTGAAAGCGAAAGGACGTAGCACAAACCTCGCTGCCGGACGCCATCTTGATCAAGTGCCCGCTCCCACAATTCCTCACGCTGAGATGTTCCGGTGTTGTCATTTGCAAAGTTTTACCCGTTTAACATCAAAATCTAAATCAGAATCGATATAAAAAGAATAAATATTACTATTGTTAATCTTAGCAATCTTATTAACGTTAACCTGCCCCTAAAAATCTAAAATCCACATCCTAAAAGATTACCGGAATCTGATTGGATGACGTCAGAAGGAGGTCATTTTTGAATGAGACTTCTGCACAAAAGAAGGTGTCTGCAAGACGAAAGCAGTGTGACGTTGTTAATAAACCAAAGGTAGACATCTTTATTTAATTTGGCAATTACCAAATATGAAATTTTTGTACTTCTGCACAAGAAAATGCATTTTATTAGTGTTTTAGGGGGCAAATTATTTGTTTACAGAGACGAAAAGAACTGATATAGTAAGACGTACGTTTGTCAATATCATTTGGCTGTCATGTGATTTTCAACTTAAACCCTTTGTGTTATTATTGCATATAACAGTTGTTTTCAAATAAAATATAACGGTATTTATTCCTTGGGTACAATTTTGGCTGCTTTAGAAAAAGTGGAAAATAACGATGTCAAGTTTATGGGAACGGGTATGATTTGTAATTTAATTTGAATGAATTCAGCCGCTCATTTGCAATCTAACAGTCCAGCTGGCATCAATAGATCATTTGAAGGAAGTGCTGTTATTCTTTGCAAATTTACATTTCCTAAAACATATTTTGTCTTTTGTGGAGGCAATTGCAATCGTTTTATGAAACTGACAACTAATTTTTAAGAACATGTACCACAACATAGTCTTCTAAATTACAGATAGTGGACTCATTATATCATCAGAGAGAAGATGTCAACCCAGTACGAGGCCCTCAAGGGCTTGTATCACCTGAGAGAAACTATTGGCTCAGGTAAACATTCAGGCTCTTTATCTTTGCCAAGAAGAAATATTATGAAGAAAAATTGTGTAGATACCTTATTGTTTATGAAGGATATAACCTTAATTAATTCCATTGTGACTTTTTAAAATCTAATATTGATTGTAAGTATTGAAAGGCAGTATGATTTTTGCATCTAACATAAGGGAATGTGTTTGGTATTTACCTCATGCATATTATTATCATTATTATTATTATTGTTATTATTATTATTATTTTGTATTTATGGAATCTTTTGTAAACACAGGTGGTTTTGCCAAAGTGAAACTGGGATATCATGTCCTCACTGGTGAGAAGGTGGCCATCAAGATCATGGATAAGAAACAACTTGGGGTAGGTTTTACCAGGATAATTTCAATATCGATGTTATCTGTTGCCATCTATATTAGATTTAGAAAGCAGCAAGAACACAAGTATTATCTGCATTTATCCAGTGGTTATATTCTGTTCAATTAAGTAAGACAAGACAATCACATATTGTTATAGGGACTTGTAAAGAAAATAGATAATGAGCTGTAGTCTTTATTAATTACTGGTTATTACACCAAACTGACTCTTTGGTCAACTGTACTTTCTGGTTCTTGATATATTCTGTTCAATTAAGTAAGACAAGACAATCACATATTGTTATAGGGACTTGTAAAGAAAATAGATAATGAGCTGTAGTCTTTATTAATTACTGGTTATTACACCAAACTGACTCTTTGGTCAACTGTACTTTCTGGTTCTTGACCAACAACACAAGGAGACACGCAACAAGGCATGTTTACACTTTATGTGGTTTATTTCCAACTCCTCATGCATGTGTACAACAGTAATAACATTACGTGTAAACACAACAGGAATTCTTGGGTAAAAATCATTTTATAATAGTTAAACTCAGATCCAGAGTAGCCTTTGCTAACACCAAATTTAGACTTTCCTTGTTTTATGACCTAAACCTGCGGTCTTATCTACAGTGTATATGTGATATTTTTTACTCACAGGAAGACCTGCCAAGAGTAAAAACTGAGATAGAAGCCATGAAGGAACTGAGCCACCAGCACATCTGTAAGCTGTACCACGTGATTGAAACTGATGAGAAGTTCTATATGGTCCTGGAGGTAAACTGAGGATGTTATCAACCAAAATTATAAAAAGAAATACTAAAAGACATTAAAAAAAAATTATAAGGTCTTATTCTCTTGAAAGATGAAAGTTGCAGTCTATGCTGGGCACATTTTATACCTAAACAATTTTTCTGCACTTTCATTAGTTCTATCAGCAATATTATTTTATGTTATATATATATATGAGGTTAAAATGAAAAAGTTGCCACCAGTAAAGCATGAAATGTGATCTTTGGTCATCCAGATGAGTGTACAGTAAGGGCTTACGCAGTATTGCCTTCTGTATATAGGTCAATTAAAAAATTTAATTACTAGTATTTTATGTAAATATAAATGCATTTTTTAAATTCCGTAAAAAATTATCTAGTTTCAATATATTTATTATATTTCAGTATGTTTGTCTTTTATGTAAAACCTCGACCCTGTTGTTGAGGCATTAGAATAAATCATCATCAATATTATTAGTATTATTATTATTATTTTGATTTTTAATATGATTATTATTCCATTTTATTATTTCAGCACTGTCCAGGTGGAGAACTATTTGATTATATTGTTGCTAAAGACAAGCTGGGGGAGGATGAGGCCCGTGTGTTCTTCAGACAGATAGTGGGTGCAGTGGCCTATATCCACTTACAGGGTTATGCACATAGGGATCTCAAACCAGTAAGTAACTACTAGACATGGCAGAAGTTTCTGTATTTCTTAATTGTATTTACAGCATAAAATCCACAAAGGGTAAAGAGTGTATAATAAAACGACTCCAAGTTTTTTTTCTTATTTTTTCTTCAAAAAGAATGTCATACATTTGGGCTGATTTCAGCTAAGATTTGAACATTTTCTCTTTGTAGCTTTTTAAATTTTGTCTGTCTTTTAATTTTTTTTATTTATTACTTACACTACTGATGTGGATTTCCTTTTTTCAGGAAAACTTACTCCTGGATGATGATCAGAACTTGAAATTGATTGACTTTGGACTGTGTGCAAAACCAAAGGTAGAAATATTTTCAACAGTTATTGTAGTGTTCACTCAGGTTTGAAAGACAGGGAATTGTTACAACTCCTGTTTTAATAATTTTGTTGGAAATTATAACTTTCAGCTGATTGTATTATCATAGTAAATAAATATTAAAATTAACTCATTTCATTGTTGGAATTGCACATATTATGAATTTGCATTTATTATGAAATTTAGCAGAAGCATAGTTCCAAATTTGTTGAAGAGAACTTGATGAAATAAATTTAAAAAAAAAACTAAATTCAGTGCTGGTAGCTTTTGGATTTCTGTGCTTTGAAAGTCCTCCAGAGTAGCCAGTTAGTAAATTTGATAATTGTAATGTCCTATATAGTATTGTATCATTGTGTTTCTTTACACTGTACTTTATGCACAGACTTATTTCCAGTTTTTTTTTTTTTTTTTTACTTCCTTTCATGTTTAAATGACATCATTGCCACTTTTTAAGTGCTATTTTCAAACAAGAGAGAAATGACTTAGCTGTTTTTCAATACTGACCCCACTCTCCTCCCCAGGGCGGACTGACCAGCCAGTTGTTCACATGTTGTGGCAGCCCAGCATATGCTGCTCCAGAGCTCATATCAGGAAAGGAGTACTTGGGCTGCGAGGTAGGTCTCATAATTATTTTTTTTTAAATTTGTGTTATGCATTCATAAAAGATCAATTTTAAAAAAGGGGGAAAAACAATTTTTGTTGTTGTTTTTCTGATTATGAATTAAAATCTGGAATTTTGAAAGCTGCTGATAACAGTGTGTTAGGTGTGAAGGATCGTGACACAATTAATGAGAAATGTGTCATGTATTTCAGGCTGATGTCTGGAGCATGGGGGTGTTGCTGTATGCACTGCTCTGTGGCTACCTGCCCTTTGATGATGACAGCATATCAGCACTTTACAGAAAAATACAGGTAATTAAATCTACCAGTGCCTTTAGTTTTACATCATATGATGAGTATGGTGGTATGAATTGTTTTTACAGTATGGGCTTTAAGATCCACAAAAGTAAAAGAGAGTATAGTAAGTAAGACAACTCCCAGAGAGAATTGTTTTTTCCTTTCAAAGAGAGGGATATGATGTGGTGCTGTAAGTTCAAAAAGCTAAGATAGTAAGTGTTTGATAAGGTTTTTTCTTTTCCCTTTTATGATATATTTACTAGATTATTGAATATGATGCTTGGAATATAAATGTTTGATATCGTGCTGCAGATTTACCTGTACACTGAAAATATCTTATATTTTTCACTACCAGACTGGCAAATATGATGTACCACGTTTTTTGTCCAAAGAAAGTGTGCGAATCCTGGACGACATGCTGCAGGTTGACCCCAAGAAACGGGTCAGCATCAAGGAACTGCAGTGTCACCCCTGGATACTTAAAAACTTCAACATTCCTGTGGACCACAGAACTAAATATAAGGTATGATCAATAGTTGGTCAAAGGTAAAAGACCAGACATTTCTGTCCACTTTTAACTAAGATAAAGCAGTAGCAGACAGTCCACTGAAATTATATTTTGGAACATTTTATAGAAAGGATGAGGTGCCTAATCTTTTTAACCTATTAGACCTACTTATATATTTTCTTGAACTTGTGTGGATTTATCTATAATTGAAGAATTTTTTTTCTTATGTTCCTTTCCCATGATCTAGGTGTCAGTTCTAGATGAAGACTGCATCACAGAGATGGCAGTCCATTATGGAAAGTCCAAAGCAGAAATGACAGAGATTTTATCAAAGGTATTTACTTATATTGCAATATAGCTGCATTTTCTTTCCCAAAATAATTTTGCAGTGTCAGAAAAAAATTAACCCAGTCTTTTATCTGATGTCCAATTAATATTCTGAGATGGGGGAGTTTCCTCTATGACTTTGAGTGATGTAGGAAGATTGTAAAGCCTTCCAATCTGAATTTCAGTGGAAGTACGACTACTTCACATCCACCTATTTGATCCTGATGGCCAAGAAGATGAGAGGACAGCCTGTGCGTCTGCTGCAGAAACCTAAACCTTTGAGAGAGAGGCAGCAGGAAAGAAGGGTGGGTGCTTATTGATATATCCAGGCTCATTTTTGCATAGGAAATTTTACTCAAGCACTAATTAAAAGATATCTTAATTATTTAGACAAATTTATTGTTGATTTTGCTAAGTTTTGTATATTGAATAATCACTAGGATAAGAGGAATATTATCTTAATGCTGGGTTAGTGTTGTTTCTCCCAAAGGTTTAAAACCTTTTAAGTAAAAGTTAAATCAGTCTTGGACGAGCAGCTTACTTAATGAAAACTTTGAACTGAATTCATGATAAATTTGAAGGAAAAATTGTATTATTATTTTGTACAGCAAATTTTATTGAGCTAAAAATCTTATCATTTCAAATAACCTGGCCTCTTCTTGTTTACAGGAGAGAAGCAAAAGTGTTGACCTTGACCTTGCTCCATTGGATCCCTTCTCCTCACCATTTTTCTCCACAAAGAGGGCACCCCCAAGGGTTGGAGAAAATGAAGACAAGGAAAACAAAGAAAACGAGAAGAAATCGACAAGCGGCAGTCAACACGATAAGAAAGAAAATAACAAGGAGGACTTTGTCATCAAATACAGGCCAAGACACAAAAAAGAGGGTGAAGAGACAAACAGCAATCAAGAAAATGTTAAAAACAAACCTCCGACAGCACAGCCACGAAGAGGGAGTGCATCAAGTGAGGGTGCCTCTAGGTCAAGGGAGCCATCAGCAGAGAGGAAGCATGTCCCAGTTAAGGACTTTGATTTTGACTTTGCTCTGCCAGAGATCCCTAAGACCCCCAGATACAAGAAGGGTGGAGATCAGACTGCTGGTGTTGGAGGGGTGGGGCAGGTATTGTCGGCACACAAAGTCAAGCCACAGACACCACCTATGACAAGACTGTTACAGTCCACTGGTAAGAATGGTGAATAATGGTGAATTGGGGGGGGGGGGGGGGGTTTGGGGTGGTCTCTTCTTTAATTAAATCTTTTAATAAGTAACTAGTTTATTGATGATGAGAATTGAGTGACCTTGATGGGGTGCTTTTCTAGTTTCAAACCAATTTATGGGGAAAGCAGATTAATACCTGTAACCAGGTAGTTTGGTTAGCTTGATATAGTTTAATAGAGTATTTTTTTGCTACACCTTTTTTCAACATTCAAAATGGCATATTTGTCTGTTTATTTATAAAGATGCATTATGAGGAGTTTGATGATTAGCCTAAGGAACAACTTGAATTTTAGGAGTGATCTGGATCCTTAACGTTTTTTCTTCACATAGACATGTTGTTTGTTTATCATCATTTATTACCACAGTAACAATGCCCTGTAACATTTCAGCCCCAGCAAGTGGTACCCCAGCCACCAAGGCCGGAGCCTTCATAACGTCCACCTTGTCACCGTCCAGGTCAGTGGACTCTGGTCTGAACCAGATGTCACTGGAAAGCAGGACACCAGGGACACCTGTCAGTGGACAGAACAAGTGAGTGGGCACATTTAATACTAATTGCACAATTGATGCTGTCACAGCTAACACACCGTCACAGCAGACTCAGTGTCGCAGCACCATAATGCTACAGCAAACACACTGTCACTGCAAACACAATGTCACAGCAAATGCAATCACTGTAAAGGCTGTCATGGAAAACACAATGTCACAGCATATGTCATTTTGAAGAGAATGTGGGTAGGCACATGAGTTGCAGTTTGGTAACTTAAATAATCCCGAATGTCATTTGACAGCAAGATACCCTAAAAAAACCTTCATAAGAAAATATCTAGTACAATAGAAATGGGAAAAAAATTTTGCCCAATAGTGAACAGAAAAGCAACCTGTTTTACTTGCCTCGGTAAACTTGATACCAAAATCTTATTGCTCACATGTACACATGCACCCATGTATTACGAAGTCTTGTTTACAAGTACAACTAACTGCCTGTTGTCTCCATTGTAGACGTTTCCCAAGGAAGACATCTGGGTCTGTACAATATTAACTTGCTTCATGTATTTTGCTTCTGTGATGATTTACATTTAATGCTTATTGAAATATCCCATTGCACTGAATATTATCTCTGGTCTGAGGTTTCCAGCTTGGGTATTCTGAAAAAGAAAAGGTTACAGACGTAAAAAAAACTTTAACCAGCCATGATAGTTTTCATTTCCATTCAATACTGTCACAAACTAAAACTAAATGAAAGGGCATTAATACAAACACTTACTGTAAAGCTAAACTTGGTTGAGCAGGTGGTTTGAAGTTGGTAGCAAGTATGCAGTTATTTTTAAGATACCTTTTGTGTTACTCTGATTTGCAGTGTTTAATGTTGAAATAGAAGTGTAAATTGTGCTTCAAGATGCTGATGATCCTTTTATAAGTATGTATTAGATTTTTTTTTCTTTTGTGTGGATATGTGCAATTGGCAATTTTTGAAAGTGACTATTAAATGTAAAGTGGCTTTTCAAATGTTAAAGAGTTCAGTACAAATAGGAAATCAGTGATTTAGGGAGTTGGCTTAAATTCAAAATGTTAAAAAAGAATGACTGCAATCACAATATCACACATTTCACACATCATTACTCATTGCGCTGTCACACCTATCACAGTTAGTTTACTATAGGGTCATGCCTCAAACAGCACACAATTAAAGTCTGGGTCTGGCAGTATCTTGCTTTAAACTGATTACCACTAGCTCCCATGTATGACTCTATACTGAATCTAATCCAATGCAATGTATAAATTAACTTTGAGGGCACATTCCCAAACTTTCATTCTATGAAGATCAATTCAGCTCTATGGATGCTCTTGCTGAATGCAATCAAATTTTACTAAATGACATGCCTCCACATATATATTTACATATACTCCACCTAACCTGCTCTTTATATTACTAGGGCTGGCTCCATAGACAGCTACCTGAGCCAAGTCCGCAACACCACCCCCTTAACAATATTTACATACACCCCACCTAACCTGCTCTTTATATTACCAGGGCTGGCTCCATAGACAGCTACCTGAACCAAGTCCACAACACCACTCCCATGATGACCCCCACCAACAAGGGAAGGAAGGGATCTGTGTTTGGAAGCATTGAGAAGGGAATGAACAGGATGTTCAACATGTTGACACCAAGAAAGACCAGCAAGAGTACCTCTGATGGACCAAAGAAGGTCAAGGTAGGCCCCGGGGGAATTGTTGTATCAGTACTACTGTGAGTTGTGTGAAGAAACGGTGTGATATTAGGTGGTTGTGAGATACAGGATGTTAAATGAAAGGTTTTCAGTATATATCAAGTTAGGTAGTGTAGTCTGTAGTTGAGGACCTGGTCTGAAGGCTTGGAAAGATTGAGACTAGCAGTGTGAGGTTTGATTTTTTAACTTGCAATAGGTAAATTATGAAAATCGCCTAAATTTTTTAGAGGCCATTGACATTTGAGACACTAAAATCACTTAATTTTGGAAAAGGTAGCTCAGTTTAACATTTAAGTTTAATGCACTGAAATTATCAGTGGTGGATGTGAGACAGTTGAATTCAAATCCGCGTAAATCATAAATCGCAGTTAAAGATGTGAGGCTATGAAAAAAATTATTTTTAATAAATTTTATTCTAGGAATTGCACAATATCTCTAACAAGACAGAGTTGAGTCCTGACAAGGTGTTGGAGAAGCTAGTGGACACTCTGGAGGAGAAGCATATAGTCTATTCTCAATCTGGGTGAGTGAATATTGGAGATTGTGTTAGGTGTGACATGGGCAATTTCTTGTCTTCTCTACAGCAATTTTGTATTTCTTGACCATGTTTGAAGAGAGTTCACTGAAACCAACAACGTTAAAATGTGTGATAATTGTTTAATTTCCTTTCGTTTACTGGGGGAGACACTAGATGTTTTTGTTGTTGCTTAAGATGATAGTTATTATGAAGGTTGAAGAAGGTATGGTTTTGAGTTGATATTATGACAAGAAAAGCTTTTTTTCTTCTTCAAAACTTGACTAGAGCTGTCAAATACAAAGTACACCGTAAAAATTTCGAAGTTATTGATTTGTTGTTTGAAAATGCTTCTTTAAGCATGTGTATTTGCATCTTCTCTTTAATTTGCTTTGCAGAAAACAGAAGGTAACTATTATTTATTTCATTATTATTATTATTATTAAAATTTTAATTAATTGTTTGTATAAGAAAACTCTAAAGATATTTGTCGAAAAATAAAATGTTTCAGCTACACATTGAGGATAGTGATGAGTAACGACTGGGGAAAAGTGCACCTAGCCTTTGATCTGGAGGTGTGTCAGATCACCAAAACCAACCTGGTGGGCATCCGGAGAAAGAGAGTCAAGGGGGACACATGGCACTACAAGAAACTCTGTGAAGACGTCCTTCGCTCGGCCAAGATTTAACTTATATTTGGTAAGTCTTTTTGGACTTTGTTTCAAGCTGGAGGTTTTCAGAAACCTGAGGCATCACCTGGTAGTTCTTTTCAATCCAAGCTAAGAAATTTTGATTAACTGTAACTGTGCACAATTTACTTTTTTATACGCTTTCAGAGAAGAAGGGTTGCTTTGTTTTAGTATTTTTGTTTGTTTTTGTGTGAAGGACCTTCGAAATGAAAAAAAGAAATTAAGTTTGAGAACGTTTTCTGAGAAACCATAACTGTAAAATGTGAAAATAATCATATTTATATTTTTGATTTTTATTTGGATCGGTTTTAGAGACATTTGAAATCATATTTTACTATGGTTAGGACTTATCTTGTCATTGATGGTTGAAAGGGATTTTAGAGGGGAGTTACTTATTAACAAGTCGTAAAGTTGTCGACACACCAGGAGCGTGTAGACTGGTATAGCTGTTGATCTGGCTTCAAAGTTTTTTTGAAACCCTAGATGTCACCACATAATTAACACAGGTCAGGGTACTTGCTTAGTGCTGAACATTTTGGAAGATTTTAGGGATGCTTTTTGTGTTAGCAACATGAGTAAGTGGTTTACCAAAATCGAAGATAAGTTGGTGAGAATTGATCAATAGGTGTTATGTTTGTGAGGCGGATAAGATTCTTCATCCGCCTGCTTGTGATGTATTGAAAAAAAAAAAAAACTCAAAAATTCTTAAGAAATTAGAACATTGTCATTTCTTAACTGATTACATTTTATCATAGAGATGAATTTTATCATTTGATGAATCATATCATTTATGATGGCGTTATTTTCTTGATATTATACTTAAGTGCATTTTGTTTTCAGATATAGGTGAAATTATCAGACTATGAATTGGGGAATACTTTAAACAGCAAAATTGACTGAAGTATATTAGACAATTTCATTTGCCTTAATGGTATTTCTTTATAAGTGGCTACTTTGTATGGGCTAGTAATTGATGGTTTTTTGGAATGTATGCTAGGCATTGTGCTGGTAGGGGTTTAAAAACAATGAAGAAAGGTAATCTACTCACAGACTCGTAATAGAACTTTATTATTGTAAATAGATTGCTTTTGGACATGTTTTTTTAATGTTTTAGGGTTGGATTTGTTCCTAAAAGCTGTATTCGATGGTTCTGTTCTGCCCTGCCCTACAATGTCTCCTTGCACGATATTTGAAACATAAGAGATTTTTTCACCAGTGTTGCTAAGAATTAAGTACAGATTTATACCATGTCGATGGTTTTTGAATTACCCTTGTGTATTTTTTTTATAGAACACCTGACCAGTACATTTTATATAATCCCCTCAACATGCTAAACTAAACAAATAAAATCATTAAACTTACAGCTCATCTACATTCCCACTTGAGTTGATGGGGGATATATTATTTTTAATGAAATATTAACTGCAATAACAAAAGCTTTTTGAATTACCCTTGTGTGTCTTTTTATAGAACACCTGACCAGTACATTTTATATAATCCTCTCAACATGCTAGGCATAACAAATAAATCGTTGAACTTACAGATCATCTATATTTCCACTTGAGTTGATGGGGAATATATTATTTTTAATGAAATATTAACTGCAGTAACAAAAGCCACATTCTTAGATAAAATCCTTTTCACGCTATTATTGACAAAACTCAATTTTAAATGTTTGCACTTAGTGACAGCATTTTTTCTTTTTTAATTTCCTTATCCTTTTTATTTCGTGAAAATGACAAATGTGTGTGTTTCTGGTGAATGAGTGTTTGAGAAAGCAATTCTAGCAGTAAATCTTTGGTTTTACCACATTCACCTTCTTTTTTTCTTTCTTAGAATCCATCTTGTGTAACCTGCTAAGATTTATATCGAGATTTCGTGCTGCTTAGGACATACCTGACCCATTGATTTCTGTAGTGGTCGCGGGTTGTTGCCTCTAAGATGTCGATACCATGTTCTAAGTAGTTCACGTCAACACTTACATTACAGTGGAAAAGATATTATAAATAAATAAATAAATAGGGTATAATACACTTAATGGGTAATAAATAAATAAGAACAGATGAATAGATAACAATGAATGAGGTGTTTTTTCTCACGCTTGTTTTCATTGTCCATCCTTAAATAATTTATTGGTGTTTTTACTGTAAATTTCTTGGTTTTCTTTATCTAACAGACAAGAGGGTGGGATTCTCTATTGAAATTGGAGGCTGTTTTTAATGGACTAAATGAAATCATTTTCAAACATGAAAAATTCAAAACTACAGGAATAATCTAGTTTGATACAATTTTAACTTTTCAGATTTGAAAAGAACCCAGTGAAAGAATGACTAAGAATTGCAGATAAATTAAAAGAAAAAAATGTTTGTAGATTTTCTAATGTTTTTCTGTAGAATGTGCTACTCCTGTTTATCCAATCAAAGATGTTGGGGCAACATGCTTATAGACATTTCTTTATTTGAAAAAAAGGGGGGCATTATGCTACAATTATTCTAGATGGTAATTTTTCAGCTGAATTAAAATTGAGAGGTGGCCCGCTTAGAAGTGACCTGGCCTAGCACCTGAGGCTCAGCGGGAGAGTGTCACATTAAGAAAGACAAAATAGGCCCATTAGTCAGAAAATGGGCTGTTTGTTCAAACTAACCCAAGTTATTGGAACTGGAAAGGAATGTTCCCCACTGGGTTATGCAGCTAAAAGGCAAATTGATTGAATCCAAAATACCCTGGACTGGTTTTTGTGCGGCAATGTGATGTTGTTTTATCTGGGCGTCCATTGGTTGATTTTTTTTCTTTATTTTTTCCTTTTTCTTTTTACATTGGTGTTGAAAAATGAACTCTTATTTGAGATGAAATTTGACACATTTAAATATGATTATGATGATAATTGCTTGATAGTAAGATTAGGTGACGTTAGCTTAGGTATGGTTAAAAGTTAACAAAAAATGATTTGTAAGCCATCTTTCCATAGCAAGCATTCAAGGTACAAGAAAAGATTTGTTGGTAAAAAATGCTCCTTTTAAGGTAGGAGCTTGGTTTTTCTTGGCTGTAAAATCAACAATAGTTATTAAGCTTTCCTAAAATTAAAAATGTAATGTAAATGTTAGATGAATAAAATTAACAAGTTTCTGACAAAAATTCACAACTGTGTTGGAGCTTGTTCCATTGGCCCATGGAAGTACTGAGCTTTAAGTATACGCCTTCTAAAATGTTTAGATCACATTATTTGTTTGTAGAGTGTAGACTATTTCATTTATACACTTTTTAAACGAGCTTTAAGACCTCCACCAATTAGGAAGACATACAGTCATCATCTTGAGTTTTAGCAAATTTTAGGAAAAAATTTCAAGCACCATATAATAGTGCTTTATTCAAGCTTCTATGTACTGTTGATATGATACANCCACCACCACCACCACCACCACCACCACCACCAAATAGAGCTTTTATATTGTGGATTTACAAAATTAAAACTATGTTTGTTAATATTGAACTGGTATTCATTCACATCATTCTGGACATTAGTTTATGGCAAAAGTAGTTTTCATTATAAGGTGGAGTCAAAGGTGTTACCTTGTATTTCTTGTAATTGTTTTAAACGCATTCCTTGAAAAAAATAGTAATTGCTAATTATCAAAAACACAATTTTACAATAAATACTATATTCCGTTGCATTTATACTATCTTCTTGTAACTTTTGTCACTTATTTTTAAATCTTAAAAAAATTCCCTTTTTGGTTTAATATAAAATATTTTAATTATTTAGATACATTCTGTAAGCAATTATGTTTTACAATACTTCAAAAAAAGATGTCTATAAATGGCCTTTTCAAAGGAAATCTGTGATACATAAACTTAATAGTTAACTTTTTTATGCTTTAATTAAGCATTTGCACTTAATGATAAACTGAGTAAATGCAATACCTATGCCATGGGGCAGAATTTCTTTTCAGATTGTAACATCTTATGGATAGGCAGCAGTTTCAGTACTTTTTCCATAAGAATAAATGCACAGCCTGAACAGTGATTGATTTACTGATGTCTTGGAAGAAACCTGGTCTAATTTAATGCCACTGCCAGCATTGTTTTAATGCCCAGTTAAATCAGTTGTCAGTGACATCCAAGTAATGATCACTGTACATGGTAAAAAGAAATATTACTGGATGTTTACAAGATGAGATGCTTACCATTATCTGATGATTTCATTACTTTTTTTTGCTTTATATAGTATACCACAGTGTTTTCTTAAAAAAAAAAAAAAAAACATTGAGGAGAAAAGGCTTTTTGAAAATTAACTGAGATTTGATGGCCTGTGGTGCAGAATTCATTATATCCCCATGTATCAAGGGGAGGAAAAGCTGGATGAACCAAGTGGGTCCTTAGCCAGCCGTCAGTCCACTTCGGCAGGGAGTATCCAAATACAAGGCAAATGAGGTACACAGCGGGGGCTGCTAATGCTAGATAAATATTGAAGGGGCCCCTGGGTAGCTCCATTGTCCTAGTTCAGTATAAGGGTCTCTGAGCTTGCTGTGAAGCTAAGCAGTGTGCACTTTTTTCCTTCCCTCCAAAGTCCAGAGTTATAGATCAGTTGAAGTGATTTCTATTGTTGGTGGCTCTAAAGCAGGTGTAATTGCAGGCTCATCAATCACGCGGGTGACACTGGCGTATTGTCCCCTTCATCAAGCATTGATTGGCCGGTAACTTGACGTCCTACCTGATGGTGGAGTCGTCCAGTCAAACGATGGGAATCTTAGTCCCTGCTTGCTTAATCAGAGATTCCCCTATTTCTGACAGTTCTTTTGCAATAAGAAGTCCTTTTGGTTGTGTTTTGCATTTTTTATTTATTTATTTATTTATTTTTTATTTGTTTTTTTTTTTTTGCAAAGTTGTTATGGATTCGAAGAAAGTTTTATATTTTTTTCCTATTCCATCCAGAAAAGTCCCCTACTAAAAGGAAAAAATTGGTTCCCATGCCACCAATTTTTATGATTTATTTATTTACTCTTTCAGTTG